TCTATAACAAAGAAGGGTACTATTAAAAAATTATACATAGCGGCCTTTATTTCCTCCTGTACTTCATTAAATTATTAATTGAATTTAGATTTCTCCGTGTAACACTTAATTGGGACTTAAAACAAAAACTGGAGAAGTCCATGTTTGAATTTTGTTTTTTTAAATTATTATTTTATTTTTGGGATACATGTAGAGTTCGTACAGCCACAGCACTGGGGAAAGACGTCATCTATAGCAATATGCAAAAGTGTACATGGCGTAAAGACTGTTGAACAATGCAGTTGATCTACTGTTAGCTAGGCCACAACTGCATATGTTAATGTCATTCAAATCATAACATTGCGCTCACAAAGGCATGTAAAACTACTGAAATGTTATGTTTCTAACATCTAAATACAAAAGAAACTCTGCAATTCTTTGTGTGTCTGACTTCTCTTGACCAGTGTTCAATGATTTGTCTCACTAAACATTACACATTATTTTAATCTGTATGATACTGATAGATATATGGAAAGGGTTGCCACCTGGTCCATATTTTCCCAACACAGACACTGTTTGAGGTTGTCTGGTTAGTGCCGGTATTGCAAATATACCAACAATGCAAAGGCCGATATTTTTCTGTGATGGGACTCTGGGACCCTGGTTATAAAAATGGATTTAGAATAACCAACTCTATTGTACAGGAACGGTACACATATTTCTATATACACACAGTAGACACAGTGACACACACTACCAACACTCACAGTATACAGACACAAAGACACACACTGACACAGTATACACACATTTAGGCAATGACACACTGCTATATGCACACTACTATACACATACTAATTCAGACAGTATGCACACACTGCAACACATATACAATGCTACACGCACAGTCAGACCAGTGGCGTAAAAACCACGGTCGAAGCTGCGACCGGGCCTCTTACTCCAGGGGGCCCGGCCGCAGCCACGACCCCTGCGACCGTGGGCCGCCTGCAACCTTCTGGGCCGGTGCACAGCCTCACCGACCCAGGTCCGCATGTGTCTGGCAGGAGGGGAGAGCTGTGCTGCTCCCCTCCTGCCTGTGTGTAGCGTGGCTGAGTGGTCTGACAGGAAGTGCTCACTAAGCAAAAACGTCCTGTCAGACCGGGATTCCGCCCCCATGTTCCCTCTGTCATGAGGGGGCCCAAGAGGTGGCCTGTTGGCTGGCGGTTGTGTTCCCGGCAGAGACGGCGAGGGGGCTGTGTTCTCCTTGCTCTGCTCCCTCGCACTCCGTCTGCTGATGCCGGGAGTCGGAATATGACATCATATTCTGGCTCCTGGCATCAGTAGACAGCCTGCACGGCGCAAAGGGAGCAGATCAAGGAGAACACAGCTCCCTCGCCGTCTCTGCCGGAACAAAGCCACCCCCCCACTGAAGCCCCACTGGACCCCAGGACAGATCCATGCCAGATCCAGGGAGGCTGGGTGGACATTTTTAAATTTAAATATATAATTTAAATTTAAATATAATTTTGTGTGTCTGTGAGTGTATTTGTGTGTCTGAGTGTGTGTGTGTATGTGTGTGTCTGAATGTGGGTGTGTCTATGAGTGTATGTTTGTATGTATGTGTCTGAATGTGTGAGTGTTTGTGTGTGTCTGAATGTGTGAGTGTGTGTCTGTGAGTGTATGTGTGTGTCTGTGAGTATGTGTGTGTGTCTTGGAGTGAGTGTGTGTATTTGTGAGTGGGTGGGTGTGTTTGTCTGAGTGCATGTGTGTGTGTGTCTGTGAGTATGTGTGTGTTTCTGTGTTTGTCTGTGAGTGTATGTGTGTGTGTCTCTGAGTGTATGTGTGTATATGTCTGTGAGAGTGTGTATATGAGTGTATGTGGGTGTCTGTTAGTGCATGTGTGTGTATGTCTGTATGTAAGTGTGTGTATGTGTGTGTGTCTCTACATGCCTGTGTTTGTGTATCTATGTGTGTGTGTGTGTATGTGTGTGTCTACATGTATGTGTCAGTGTGTGTGTGTCTGCATGTGTATCTGTTTGTCTGCATGTGTGGGGGGACGCTGTCGTATGGGGTGGGAGGTAGGTGTATGGGTGGCCCCAGGGCAATTTTCACACTGGGGCCCTGCGGTTTCTAGTTACGCCTCTGAGTCAGACATAGTACAGACATTGTAAATTGTTTATTAGTGGTTTAGGGAATTTCCCGTTCCAAATGTGATTTTTCTTATGTTTCTCGTGCCCTGTGATGTGATGCATATGTACATTTTTATGCTAATTAGCATTGTTGGATTTTTTTTCTTTAAAGGTGGCAACCCTAATGGAAAGATAGATCAATAGATAGATCTTATTAGTTTTAATGCTACACCATTGCTACCCAACATTTTAAAAGAGCGAATTGTAATCTGTTCTACTCATATTTAATTACCTCTCTCAATACTATCACTGTCTCCCACAACTGGCCCAACACGCATGCGTCATACTTCCACCCTGTCTCTTCCCATTCTCCAATTTCTCATCTCACTCTCCTCATCCTGCATCTCTCTTTCTTCAATTTATTACTTTATCTCTTCCTATATTCTCACTTCTCGTTCTGCTCCCCATGACTCGCCTAGGGTCAATCCCATGTACCCCATTTCCATGCTCCCACTTGTCTCTTTGACCAACTCCATACCATTTCTTATTTGATGTCTAACACTTTTAGAATAAAAATTTTTGTTTAATACACGTATTGCAGTGGTTGATTAACCCATTAAGGACGGAGCCAAATGTACACGTTGTGAACGAAACAAAATGTAAACAAAACCTGGCATTTGTGCTACATGTCTGTCCAACCATAATTCGCCTCTTTCATATTAAATGCACCCACCCTTATTATATATCATTTTGTTCAGGGGAAACAGGGCTTTCATTTAATATCAAATATTTAGCTATGAAACATAATTTAATATGAAATAAAATGGGAGAAAATAAGATATTTTTTTTGTTTTTTTTTAGTTCTACATGACTGTTTTCTTTTACTGCAATAAAATACACATATTTGTATTCAGCAAAGTCTCACGTGTAAAACAGTACCCCCTATGTACAGGTTTTATGGCATTTTGGGAAGTTACAGGGTCAAATATAGCACATTACATTTGAAATTGAAATTCGCCAGATTGGTTACGCTGCCTTTGAGACTGTATAGTAGCCCAAGAATGAAAATTACCCCTATGATGGCATGCCATTTGCAATAGAAGACAACCTAAGGTATTGCAAATGGGGTATGTCCAGTCTTTTTTAGTAGCCATTTGGTCACAAACACTGGCCAAAGTTAGCGTTAGTATTTGTTTGTGTGAAAAATGCAAAAAACACCAATTTTGGCCAGTGTTTTTGACTAAGTGGCTACTAAAAAAGACTGGACATACCCCGTTTGCAATACCTTGGGTTGTCTTCTATTGCAAATGGGCTCCCTGGGAGTCCCCCCAACCACGATCACTGGCGTGGGATCGCCGGCGACCGGGTAAGTACAGAAAGACCGGAGGGCGTACTATTACGCCCGGTGGCGTTTAGAGCCACTTAAAAGAGGGCGTAATAGTACGCCCTCCGGTCTTAAGGGGTTAATTCCTTGGCTAATAGGTCTTTTATGTTCTTGCCTTAGTACACAAGAGTACTGAATACTCTATCCCAGTGTTTCCCAAACCAGTCCTCAAGACTCACCAGCAGTCCAGGTTTTGTCAGTATCTTTATTGGAATAAAAGAAGGTAATAAATAAATCCTGGGTTGTTGGTGGGGCATGAGGACTGGTTTGGGAAACACCACGATATTGAAAATAAATGTCATGAGACAAAGCTATTTTATGTCAGATAATTTGTCAGAAATATGTAAGTAGCAGTTCCAATGAACATAAAGTAAATACAAACAGCATTGCCAGGAAAGAATCTCACCAAGCAGAGTACACTTCAGTGGGGAGGTCTGTGTGAAGACGAGAGTAATCTAGACCTCCCCAAGTAGACCTTAGAGGTGGATTACCATTTCAATAAACTGAAATTGCTATAGTATTGAGTGTCCCTGTAATCACAGGATGCTGTTCTCAACTTTGGTACCTAGATCTAGTATCTAGAGCGACTAAATAAATCTGAACAGAGACCAGACTTCTGGTGGGTTTTCATCTGTCCAAGTTTTTACTTGAATTTACAGAATTTTTTTCAGTTATGTTGAACAGAAAAGTGCTAACAGTTTGGATACTTTGCCATTTTTGTACAAGCTGAAAATTTGCAGTGAAATCCATTTCATTTAAAAACCGTTAAAGGAACACTTCTAACGCCATAATCACTACATGGTGCTGTAGTGGTTCCTGGCATGCAACCACCCCCAGTAAAAGTCATTTTACTGGTTGCAAACGGTTTGACTTTTTACATGGTATCCACCGGGCATTGCTCCCTGTGTCTCCAAGAACCAGAAATTACTGCAAGGAGCTTCTGTTAGCATCTGAATGGGCCTTCTTATTGGCGTAAGAGTGTTTGCTTGTAGCCCTTAACCAATGAGCTAAGCATTGATTTTAGGAACCAAAATCTGCATGTTGGGGGAGGCTGTGATCCTTTTCTGCAGATATCTACAGGCAAATTATAGATTATCACTACAGAGTTTATTGGTAGAATGGGATAACCTACTCTTTTAACATATAGTTATAGTATTCCAAGTATACCCGGTTTTCTGTGGGGATTCATCCCCTCATGCCCTGAGATTTCATGGAACCTTGCACTTCCTGTCTTAGCTCAGCGAAGAGAGCATTGAGGCTGAAGAGAGGCTGAGTGCTTGGCAGATCCCAGGTAACAAGTCAAACCACTAGAAAATGGTTTACCTACTTACATTTTGGGTGTCAACAGAGAACTCTTGACTCCATAGCTACTATTAATTAACTTTTTTTTGTGTTCTTTAAAAACATTTTCAAAGCATTGTTTTACCAAGTTGATGATATTATTTCTCGATACATGAAGTTACATTTACTCTAGTGAGCCTACTCGTGTACACATCTGAAATAACTCTCTAGAATAAATTGTTTTATAAGACACTTCCAACAATAACTTACCATCTGTTGTCATCTCATGTGAGATAGTACTTGCCGTGAATTGTAATATTACCCATGACACTAAGAGGTTTGAGTGGCCACCTTGTCATATTGAGGTGCGGCTGCTACATGCTTCCAGACACACTTTCTCAGTGACGCTATTGTTAGCAGAAGGAAGTAATTGTCAGGTAAGCATACACGTTACATACGCTTTCTGGTGATATTGTCATCACAATGTATAGGCGGGGGTGGCCAAACCTAATGTCTGTAAGAGCCTAATGTTAACATTTAGAAATATTCAAGAGCACCATTAAATTTATTGGAGTATTCAACAGAACCAAATAACTGAATTATAATTTTTATTAATATGATTTATTAAATATACAAAAATCAAGAGAATACAAATTAACAAGCGAGAACAAAATACAATAAAAAGTATTATTTTTTTCTATTGTCAATCTTTCAAATACAATACAGGAAAAAAGAAGTCGTAGCAAAAGTAGATATGTCACTAATGCAGGTGGTGTGCTCCTGCATAAACAGCCTCATGTTTATAATAAACAGGTTAAGCAAACATGTCTAAGCATAATACAAAACAATAATTAATTGTGTCTCATTCCGCCCCGTACCTCCATTCATGTGTCCCATTCTCCCAGCACCTTTATTAATGTGTCTCACTCACTCAGTGTCCCCTTGTGTCTCATTCCCCCCAGCACCTTCATTCATCTTATTCCCCAAGGCTCACTATTATCACATTCCCCAACCCCCCCAGTGTCTCATTCCTCTAGCCCACTCATTTTTACCCCCCCCCCCATGTGTCTAATTTCCATCCTAACCCCCATGTACCCACTCAAGCACTTGTTTCCCTCTCACCGGTCTGACAGGAAGGAAGTAGTTCTGCATGCTCAGTGTGCGACTTCCTGTCAGTCTGGGGAGAGGGAAACAAGGTTCTCTACTCCAGTCAGTGGCTCGGCCACACTACATACAGAGACCGGAGGGAGGGGAGCTCTGTGAAATGCGCTCCCCTCCTGACAGTCAGCCAGATACTGCATCCCCTGGGCCTTATGGTAGAGCTGGCCCAGAAAAGTGCAGCGAGCCACATTGGGTGGTTTGAAGAGGCGCATGCGGCTTTCTAGCCACAGTTTGGCCATGACTGATAAAAAGTATGCCTAATGGAAATTTGTGACTTACAAGATTTGTGAATGATGGTCTCACCAACAGTTATGAAACTATAGAAATGGGAGGTAAATGTATGTATTCTGAATACAAATCATCAAATAAAATATAATAAACATATAAAAAACAGATCACTTTGTGATCCTTGTAACGTAAAGCTGACTTGCAGTACACTGAGCGTTCGTTTATGACAGGTGACATGTAGTGAGATTTTGGTCGCATACTAGCTAATTCCAACCCAAAATCACTGAAAAGGGCTGTATATGCTGAAAAACTGGTGGGAAGTGACTGAGACAATATCTTATCAACTTTTATAGAGATCAGTAATCATTAATGGAAAACCAAGCTACTCAGTAATAAGTAGATATTGGTATTTTCGACTAAATTTGAAATACCGTATATACTCGAGTATAAGCCGACCCGAATATAAGCCGAGGCCCCTAATTTTACCCCAAAAAACTGGGAAAACTTATTGACTCGAGTATAAGACTAGGGTGGGAAATGCAGCTACTGGTAAATTTCTAATTAAAATTAGATCCTAAAAAAATTATATTAATTGAATATTTATTTACGGTGTGTGTATATAATGAATGCAGTGTGTGTGTGTGTGAGTGCAGTGTGTGTGTGAGTGCAGTGTGGGTGTGTGAGTGCAGTGTGTGTGTGTATGAATGCAGTGTGTGTGAGAGTGCAGTGTGTGTGTGTGTATGAGTGCAGTGTGTGTGTGAATGAGTGCAGTGTGTGTGTGTATGAGTGCAGTGTGTGAGTGCAGTGTGTGTGTGTATAAGTGCAGTGTGTGTGTGTGTGTTGCAGAGCCTTGGTGGGGGGTGGGCATTTTTATTATTATTTTTATTAAATTATTTTAATAATTTTTTTGTTTTATAAATATTTTGTTATTATTTTATTATGATTTTTCTTAAATTATTTTAATAATTTTTTTGTTTTATTAATATTTTGTTATTATTATTTTTTATGTTATTATTATTTTTAATATTATTTTATTATTTATTTATTTTTTCGTCCCCCCTCCCTGCTTGTTAGCTGGCTGGGGAGGGGGGCTCTCAATCCCTGGTGGTCCAGTGGCATTGGCAGTTCAGTGGGTGGAGGAGGGGGCTGGCAGAGCTGTTACTTACCTCTCCTGCAGCTCCTGTCAGCTCCCTTCTCCTCCGCGCTGGTCCGTTCAGCTCCTCTCTCAGCTCACACTGTATGTCTCGCGAGAGCTGCACTATGACCCCGCGGCTCTCGCGAGACTTACACTGGGAGCTGACCGAGGTGCTGCACGGACCGGCGCGGAGGAGGAGAGAGCTGACAGGAGCTGCAGGAGAGGTAAGTTACAGCTCTGCCAGCCCCCAGTCTGTATTATGGCAATGTAAATTGCCATAATACAGACAGTGACTCGAGTATAAGCCGAGTTGGGGTTTTTCAGCACAAAAAATGTGCCGAAAAACTCGGCTTATACTCGAGTATATACGGTAGATATAATAGTAGAAATTAGTAAGTAATATCTCCAAAAATAGTGTGATAGTTTTCAGAAATTCCTGCTTAATTGATTAATGTCAGGGTTTAGTAAATAAATTTAAATGTTTAAGTGAGAGACATAAATAAGAAAACCTTTCATTTTAAAAACCTTTAAATTAAAAATTATATAATGTAAAGAAACTTTTTAGCGGTTTTGTGAACAGAAAGGAATATGAGGTCAAATGTTACAAAAATATAAAAAAATTTCTGAAAGCTAGTTTTCTGATCCTTTTGAAAGATGCTCAGATGGAGATCTGTCAGTAATAACTCTATAGATAGAATTTTCCAGATGGATGTCAATTTGTAGCGTGTAGGAAGTGCATTAGATTAGAAACGGAGGCATACTTCTACAGTATGTGAAACCAGATTATAAATTTCCTCTTGTGTTTATGGAGAGCATGAACATGCTCTATGCTTTATAATATAAACAGTGGGATCTAATGAGTTGAAAACCATTTTTTTTTACATTAAAGCAGCACTGTCACCCTCCCCTCCATGAAAAATTGGTATTTTATAAAGATATAATCTCTATGAAATACATTGACTGTGTGGGAATTTCACTGAAAAACCAACCCAGTCAATAAATATACAGAGACAAAGTAGGGACTATTTTGTCTTACATATTTCTCCTATGGAACTACCTTTATTTACATGTGTCGATCGCCTCAGCCGTCACCAGTGAACACTGTAGGGAAACTGGCTCTGTCTATGAATGATCTCGCAGGATCCTCCATAGACCTCAATGCTATATAGCAGTGATGTTGGCTCCTGGCAGCTGAAGTGCCAGGAGTAAAAGAGGATCTGCTGGAAGAGAACGGCGACGACCATTAGGGACTGGTTCAGGTAAGTAAAACCCACTTTTGACGGACACCCAGTGGCGATGTCATCATCAGTGGTCCCCAGACGGTGACCATGATGCTTTAAAGGGACTCTCCAGTGCCAGGAAAACAATCTGTTTTCCTGGCACTGCAGGTCCCCTCTCCCTCCCACCACCCATCCCCGGTTGCTGAAGGGGTGAAAACCCCTTCAGTGACTTACCTGAGACCCCCGCCGATGTCCCTCTGCGGTGGTTTTGGGTCCCCACCGTTCCTCCCCTTCATCACGTCAGCCGGCGGGGGCATTAGAGCTCTCCATAGGAAATCATTGAAAATGCTTTTCAATGCTTTCTTATGGGCAATTGAGCGATGCTGGGGGTCCTCACACAGCATGAGGACATCCAGCGACGCTCTAGCACAGAAAACCTGTGCTATGAAGCAGGAAGTGCCGTCTAGTGGCTGTCTAGTAGACAGCCACTAGAGGAGGAGTTAAACCTGCAAGGTAATTATTGCAGTTTATGAAACCTGCAATAATTACAGTTGCAGGGTTAAGGGTAGTGGGAGTTGGCACCCAGACCACTCCAATGGGCAGAAGTGGTCTGGGTGCCTGGAGTGTCCCTTTAAGGTGCAAATAGATGAGTATCAAATTTTTCCAACTCACGTCGACTTTCCTCAGCCCCTTGTTTATCAAATAAGCTCAAGGATAATGTTTATTCTATGTATATCTATGTACAAATGTATATCTGGCAGAGTACCTTAAAATACACCATCTGCATTATTTTGTCAGGAGTAAACGTTATTGATTTGTGGTAAAGCTATAAATTATGTGTCAAAACTTTACTCTTGTATTGTATTCCATCACAAAACATTTTCAGGCATAAATGATGTCACTGACAGAGGAATCCTCATGCACAGCTATATGCACATTGAAATGCACAGAAAGTTGGGATACACATAGTTTTTAGATGCTCTATATTACCAATGCAGTAGCTGGTATACCTTAAATAATGGATCTTCTATTGGTAGTGATTAACGAGCATTAGGGACAATGCATCCTCAAGGTTTAAATAAGTAAGGAGAGGGTAGATTTGCTACATACCTGCAGAGTTTCCCAGTTGTTATTACTGATTATCTAGGAATCCTGCAAGGCTATGAAATATTCTATATAACAATTCTAGAGCTGCATTTCTTTGCATCTCCTAGCCCAGTATGTGTAGGAATAAGCAGTTCAATGATTGGCCAGAAGACTGAGCATCTTCTGGCCCAATACGTTTAGCTGTTGGATCCTTATTGGGTTAATCCATTTCAACACCAGAGTCTGGGGATCCTTTAATCCATTGGTTCCTACCAGTCCAGGATTTAGAGATTACCCAGTTGTGTCTAAGGTGTTTTTAGAAAAAGAATAAAAACACCTTTGCACAACTGGGTAATCCCTAAATCTTGAACTGGTAGGGGAGCCTTGAGGACTGATTTGAAAACCACTGCTCTGACCCATTGTTTTTAAGGAGTATAAAACACTTGTTGGGCCCCAAGAAACATTATCTTTTAAAAAAAAAAAATTAATGATTTATTTTCATTAGAGAGATGCAGCCTATGGTCACTAATTACATGCTGGGGTCTTATAGATCCCATCATGTATGGCTTTATAAATTTCACTTTCACTGCTGCTCTCAACTGCACAGAGATAATTGCTTGCTTAGTGAGAGCCTATTTACACCACAAAATATTGTTTTTAGCCTATAAAAGTGTGACACCATTTAGTAAATAGCAATTGACCTTGCAGTTTCTATGGTTTCCTATGGCGTGTTCAAGTTGGAACATTTGATACATCTGCATCACAGGAAGGTTATGCCATTTGGAAAGTTGCAATTAGCACAGCATCAGTAGTAAATTGAGGTGTATATCTGTATGTGAGCATAATACCGGCATGCATTAAGTACACTTATAAAGCGTCTCTTAAGAAGATGTATCTTCTTGTAGAGCATTACAGGCAGCAGAGAATAATTGTAGTGTGCTCAGAGTCCTTCTTCCCACCTCCCTAGCTACTAGAATCCAGCCATAAAGTTTGACCTATAAATGTTGCTTTGCATTATGTGTGATAGAAAGAGGGTAGTCTTTTACAGTCCCTCTGCAGAGATGTTAAGGGACAGAATGGAGTCCTGGCAGATAAATTACTTTCTTTGCAGGGTGAAAACCAGCACTAAACTAACTGTGAGAGTAAGTGTAAAAGTAAGGGCTAATTTTCACTTTCTTGGTTTGCAACAAAAACACATAAGTAACGGCATGTACACACATTGTTGCAATGCTGTAAAATATATACAATATATAGTAACTATATTAACCATGTTTGATATCAGTACTGCATAATGTAGTATGTATCTCGCCAAGTTCCAAAGAATGAATGGATATATGGATATAGATTAGAGTAGATATGTTAGTCCAGTTATTTAGAATTGCAATATATGAGTCACAAGAATGATGCTATGTATGTTACCTATTTCCTATAATACACAGAGATAGCATCATCCTGGTAACTATAGGTATTAAAATACTCCCAGTGGAGACTCCAGTTGCCCACAGGAGTTTACGCTCTCCCTCTTTCTCAAAGTCCACTCAGTTGTTGGGTCTGTTTTAGTTGTGGGAGGACTTGTTGATATATGAAGGGGATAAGAGTGCATTCTTCAACTCACTTGACAAGCCAAGATTTTAACTGTTAATGAGAAATCAGAATACATAGTCATAACTGCTACCCACAGGGCACACCCCATAGTCTTCCGACAAGGATGCAGTTAATGTGTGTGGACGCAATGTGTGTATAGTAGATGCAGAGTGTGTAGAGTGAATGTAGTACCTGTGTGTACAGGACGGGCGCTACCGCAAGACAAACTAGGTAGCCACCTATGGCGCACCACACAATGTCTGGGTGACCAGCAGAAGTAAAGCGCACAGAACTCAACTACATCTTCTTTATCCTCTACCTGGCTGGGAGCAACAAACAGCTTCCTGTCAGAATAGGAAGAGGATACAGAAGATCCTGTACTCGCAGTCTGCTCGGCCATACTACAAAGGAAAGATGAGCTGCCATGCTAGGGGGAAGAGAAAAAGACACATAGAAGGACCTGGTGATGAGGACAATGACACACCCAGAGGGATTGGGGAAGAGTACAATGATGTGTCATTGGAGATGAACACCGACATACAGAGGGGCTGTGAAAGGGGTAAAAGAGACAGGCAAAGATTGAGAGATAGAGACACACAAAGGGGCCGGGGAGAGGTAGAAAAAGGGCTTGGAGAGAAATAGACACACACAGAGGGGCTGGGGAAGTGAAAAGAAGACATACAAATGGATTGAGGGAGAAAGAGAAACAAAGTTTGCAAGTTTTTTGGTTTTTTTTGAGAGGGGGAGGTTGCAAGTAGTTGGTCTTGCCTAGGGTGCAAAATAGTTTAGCACCGGCAGTTGTGTACTAATAGGGGGACGGGGAGGGCAGCCCGCACGAAGTGCCACTCAATAGGCACTTCCAGTGTCATGAGTCACCCTTAATCCATTCTTATAACGCAGGCCCCGGCAGTATTATGGAGGAGCAGGGGGAGGAGTGTTGTGGAGGGCAGACGCGCGCAATATGATGCCGACGTCATGCCACCGCTGCCTGTCTGCCCTCACAGATTCCAGGCTGTGAGGGTGGCACCGCGGGGGCAGTAGTGTTCGGAGCCGGAGCAGGGCAGCAGAGCATTTACACAATTCATCATCAGTTGTGAGTAGAGAATGCAAGGGGTGTATGAACTTTATGTGTAGGGGGTGCAGGGTTTTTATGTGAAAGGGGGGTATTAGTTTGATGTATAGGGGGTGTGCACGGTTTTTATGTTTAGGGGGTGTATGAACTTTATGTGTATGGGTGGGTGAAAGGTTTTTATGTGAAAGGGAGGTATTGATTTGATGTATAAGGGGTGTGCAGGGTTCTTATGTGTAGGAGGGTGCATTCTTTTTATGTGTAAGGGGGTGCAGGGTTTTTATGTTAAGGAGGTGTATGAACTTTGTGTAAAGGGGGTGCAGGGTTTTTTATTTATTTATTTTTTAAATTGTTTATTTTTGTAGTGCACGTATATAATACAGGCATGCTTGAGGTGCCCCGAAAGCAATCCTCAGGCTTTTCCCACGCTTAAAATGCGGGGTGTACGAATAACTGGCACAATTTTTATGCTTTATCAGGCTCAATTAACATAACATTAAATAATCGATTTACAGGTAAGTATATATGTTTTACAAACAGTGTTGGTTCGTGCGTTAGCTGTAGTAGTACCAATATATATAGTACAGGTAGTGCGGTACAGCGCTAGCGATTTCGTTTAGCTAATGCCCATGTACCTGTTTGATGTGAAACGGTTTGCTTATATAGTAAGACCTGCTAGGGTAGGGTCGCTTATAGTATTAGTCACGCTTCAGGTTATACATATGTATTTTGCAATTAGTGCGCCATTTTCGCCTCAGAAGCATAACGGTGAGATTAACAAGTTGAGAGGCTAGCATAGATAGCTTCATGTGATGCAGTTCAAACCAGTGTTTTAGAGTACATGCCAATCTTGCGCCTTAAGCAAAAATTAATTAGTAGAATAAACATAACAAAACATAACATAATTAGTAAGGTGTATGCTGTGCCAAGAAGCTCAGGGTGGAAGGATTACTCTGTTTAAATCCCTACACCCAGCCTACAGCCAGTCCAGAGTACACATGAGTGTCCAGAGAGAGAAGGGTCAACAAGGTAATGTACTGCGGCGTACCGAGAGTCTGTGTTGTTGTGTAGGAGCCTTTCAGTGCCTGGTAGAGGTGTCTAGGCCTCAGTCTGCAGAGTCTTCCGCTGTCAGCCGATGCCTTTTCTGCTAGGCCGTTGGCGCGTTATGTAGGCCTCCTGGATCAGCATTCTTCCTTTCATGTGCTGTGGAGGGGCTCCCTGCCTGCGTCTCCCGCTGGTATCAAGCCTCACTGCCTCCCGGTCATCGTTACTGCCGATGCCACAAGTTTTCAGGTGCAGAGTTGCGCCTTGCTGGGTGAGGGTTGTTGGGGCTGCTGAGGTGCTGGTGAGTCGAGCATGTTGGCAGGTCCCTCTCTGAGGCGCGAGGACGCGCTTTCTGGGGCACCAGTTACCTTGAGCTGTTTCCCGCCATGCTGTTCTCCGGCGTCAGCGCCATCCGAGAGAAGCTCTGGAGGTGTTCAGGGATTCCCGCTTAGCTATCGCTGGGTTGCTTGGGAGGCTTAATTTGCAAGCGCTTTGTGGTAGGCCGTGTCTGTGCCGCCATCTTGTCTGGGCCCAGACAGGCCCTTCTTGCTTTGGGTGCCATCGCTTGGTTATGCGTTGTTGCTGGGGTATTCGCCCCCATCGAGGACCGGGATATAACCCGCCGGGATATCCCACGCCAGAGGGGGTGGAGGGGCAGCAGGGCTATACTGCATGTGTGCAGGCCCCGTGCCGGGAGATCGGCCGTCTCCCCCGGTCCTCAGGCTCTGCTCCAATGCAGGCCGCATGGTCGGTACGGGCCGTTCCGCTTCGCATCGGTGCTGGACCGATATCATTCTGTTCCTCATGTCTTCATAAGATGGATTCCGGTCACTGTGCGCTGCCTACGTTAACGGGCTGGTCGGTAGTTGCGTGTATGTGCTCTATATTGCTGGAGCTCTTAGAATGTGCGACCCGCCATCTTGGCTGTCAGGCACTGCCCGTGGGTGCAGGGTTTTTATGTGAAGGGGATGTATGAACTTTATGTAAAGGGGTGCAGGGTTTTTATATGAAGGGGGTATGAATTTGATGTGTAAGGGGGGTTCAGGGTTTTTATATGTAGGGGTGGTGCAGGGTTTTTATGTGAAAGGGGGATGTGTAAGGGGGTGCAGGGTTTTTATGTGAAGGAGGTGTATGAACTTTGTGTAAAGGGGTGCAGTGTTTTTATATGAAGGGGGTATGAATTTGATGTGTAAGGGGGTGTGATAAAGTGAAGGCAGATAGGCTTTTTAACCCCAGGGGAAGTACGTGTAGTTTGTGTGTTGCACAACACAAAGCATTGTTTAGTTATGGGCCCCTGGGGTGGAGCATTTGGAGAGAAGGGTGGGCCAATGCTCCACTCCACAGTTTAGTGGTTTTCTGGGGAGACATAGATCCAAGCCAGGGTTTTTTGGACCGTCTCCAACCCACTGCTCAGCTGCAGTTAATGAGCTGTTGCAGTGGGAATAAACCCCTCCCGGCTAGACAGGAAAAGGAGAGGGATTGCTGGCTTCCTCCCAGGAAGCAGGTAGGAGAGAGGCTGTTCTCTCCAGATAGAGAGCCAAGGCTGGCTTGGAGCACTAGGAGTGCAGAAAGGAAAGCCGTCAGGGCAAGGCTGGCTTGGAGCACTGGGAGTGCATGAGGAAGCAGTCAAGGCTGGCTTGGAGCACTGGGAGTGCAGAAAGGAAAGCAACAGGCTAGCTAGCAGAGTGTTGCTATCTAATAAGGTTGGTGCAATATGTTTTGTTAGTTTAACCCTGATAGAGAGGGATATACAAAGTGAGTCAGTGCTCAGACGAGCTAGGTTTTTGTTTAAAGGGAAACCTGTTATATTTATGTTTTCATTTGCTGCTGCCTCATATGTAAACTTACAAATAAAGTGCCTGGAATGAAATTGCATTGAAAGACTGTGCATGTTTTTGCCCTAGAGGACCGTGCTACCTGCAGACAAAGATCACAGGGGTTGCAGGGTTTTTATGTGTGGGGCGTGCAGGGTTTTTATATGTAGGGGTGGTGCAGGGTTTTTATATGTAGGGGTGGTGCAGGGTTTTTTTATGTAGGGGGGTGCAGGGATTTTATATGTAGGGGGTGCAGGGATTTTATATGTAGGGGGGTGCAGGGATTTTATATGTAGGGGGTGCAGGGATTTTATATGGGGGGTGCAGGGTTTTATATGTAGGGGGGTGCAGGGTTTTATGTGTGGGGGGGATGCAGAGTTTATGTGTAGGGGGTACAAAAAAACTTGTGGATGTTTTTTACATTTTGAAGAGGGGGTGTGTGCCAAACACAGGGTCCGCCACGGGTGCCGAATGCTCAAGGTACGTCCCTGAGCACCGGCCCTGTGTGTGCATAAGTGTGGATGCAGTGTGTGTAGTGGATGCAGTGTGTGTGTGTGTGTGTGTGTGTGTGTGTACATTTGTAGGTCAGGATAAGGGCTGCGTTTTATGGGCTGTGAGCAGGGTTTTTTTAGCGTTATCCCTCCTCCGTTCTGGTGGGGGGGAGCACTACATTCGCTGGTGGTCTGGTGGCACTGCTTGCTGCTTATATAGTAAAGAGAGGCAGGTCCTCTCTTGCGAGCCCTGGCATTGTGCCACACAAGAGCATTGTCGTCGTAACACTCTTGACAGCCAGGACTCATAAGACAGGGCCCCGGGCCCCACATTCGCTATTCAAGCCAGTCCACGGGTGCATATATTTATAGTGATATATATAATATGTAGTGCTATATATATTCACCAGTGGGAGCCCAGGCCACTAATATATATATATATATATATATATATATATATATATATATGTGATACAGGGCCTGCTTTCTCTCTCTATGTGGCCTGGGCCCTGTACAGCCGCATAGTAGCAAAGAGGTCAACACACAAAGCAAGGAAGTGGACTTGTACTTAAGAGTGGACCTGTATAAACAGGTAAAATGTGCAATTTTTGTGCCGCAAAGGATCTGGGACCCAGCTGCTGATACACCGAATGAGAACATTACTACAATGCCAATTAGAGATGTGGTTGTGTTATATTATTGTGATCTTTGCTACATGTAGCTTCTTCATTGTCCTTTCTACAAAAACAAATAATGTATTAGTTGTGTTTTTCTGTTTTCTTTTCAGCATATTCAACAAAACTGAACAGGTTTCCAATTTTTCATTTCCATGACGATTTGAAAGATCTGTGCATCAGTGCTGTGAGCTCCAACACTACCAAGGCAACTTTGTACGCACTAAATGTTTGGCGCTACTGGTGCATGACCAGAGGGTTGAAAGATTGTATGGACTTCACCAAGGTGAGCTGTAATGGTCCTTTCTTTTATTTCTCCACTCATTTAGTTCTACATAAACAACTTTAAAATACTAATGTAATATAATAAATATGCAATATTTAATGTATTACTGAAGTAGGTTCCCATTAAAAGTATAGTGCATTTTTGTTTCCTTTAAGATTCTATGCTTCAAATATGTAGAATCTGGTGTAAGTAAGAGGCGTTGTGCTTTCATTTAGGACTAGTTTATGGTGTTTTTCCACCATACCTACCAGTTGACATCAATATATATGCCATTTTAAGCTGCTATAGCCCTGTGTAGATTTTTTTATTGAGGGAATACCCAAACAAATTAACCATTTGTCAAGCAAGTTCAGGGGTCCCAGACCTTCCAGATATTAGTGAAAAAAAAATAACAACCACTAACAGAACCATGGAGCAGATTGCCGCATAAAGCAAATATCATGAAACATCTCTAAAATGAATGACCTCAAAAGCCAACACTGAGTTCTTGCACAAAGAGCAACACTGCAACAGCAGCTTCAAAAACCACACATCTCCCTCAAATCTTTGCTCTCCGGGCATATCAGGAGTGCTGGAGTTGGGCTGGAGTTGGGGCCCAGAGCTCTCCATGGGCCCAGAGCTTTGTACATCCTTGGGTGCAAACTTTCACACCTAGCCAAAGGATCAGAATTGAACGTTTTGCTTAAGAAGAAGGAACCTAATTGTTAAACGTTTCCTGTGATCTGACAAATGGCACATCCCTCTAGCAGGGCAGTTACATTAACCCTTCCAGTGCTAATCATCCATACCTCTATTTGGGTAACCATTCCCTGTATCCACTACACACATCTGTTGAGTTACGACATTTTCCCCCCATAAAACAATGGGTCATGTTCGCTGGGCATGACAAGCAGTACATCACAACATAGAGATTAGACATTTATTGTATTGTATTGTGTGGGTCTGGAACTTTAGTATCAATTAGCCCTATGGAAATCCAGCTAGGGCCTATTCAATTGTGTCTACCTTCAGCTTTAGCTTCAATAATCCCTTTATTTACCTGACCCTGTATACTGGAGCATCATTCTGAAATGGGTTGGGTTTGAATAAAAAAAGAAAGTGCATACACTTTTGCATCCATACAGTTGCAAGAAAAAGTATGTGAACCCTTTGGAATGATATGGATTTCTGCACAAATTGGTCATAAAATGTGATCTGATCGTCATCTAAGTCACAACAATAGATAATCACAGTTTGCTTAAACTAATAACACACAAAGAATGAAATGTTGCCATGTTTTTATTGAACACACCATTTCATTCTTTGTGTGTTATTAGTTTAAGCAGACTGTGATTGTCTATTGTTGTGACTTAGATGATGATCAGATCACATTTTATGACCAATTTGTGCAGAAATCCATATCATTCCAAAGGGTTCACATACTTTTTCTTGCAACTGTATATGCTCCCAATCTGAACCAATCCTTATTCCTCCACAAGACCGTTTCTTCTTTTGTGGAGGACACCCTGACTGAAGGAGAAGACTTTAACATCCCCCCAAATCCTGTATTGAATTAATTTGCTATGCGAAGCTGCATTCCTCAGCACAGGATAACAGTGATTAAGAGAGCACTTCAGGATTTGCATCTAGTGGATTGTTGGAAAACATTAAATCCTACCAGCAATGTTTACACACACTGTACTGCTCTCCACAGACGCCAGACCCAAACTGACTACATATTTGTCCAACAGGAACAACTCCCATGTCTCCATTCTGCAGCAAATCTGGCCTCTACTTAGAAGGCCTATAATCTGGTCCAGTATTCCTGTGAATCCTCATTGCTTAGAGCGAAGGAGGGGACCTGGGAAATTAAATTGTACTCGATGACCGAGAGGTGGTCTCACAGACACATTGGACCTTTAATATTTACTTTTCTAGAAAATTATTCCAAGATGACATCTCTGATGTCACTATGGGAGGCACACAAATGTTACAAAACATTTTAAGTGATTTATTATATCTGTCAGATTTTTTTATCTATTGCATCTTTTGCGTTATAACTTTTTGTTTGAATGCCATGTTTTTAGACAATGCAAAGGATTTATCAATCTTTCTGTCATTATTTTCAGGCAGAAAAGTGTTCTATCTTACTATAATTTTGGTGGTTTACTGAAGTGCATATTTCTGGGAAAACTGGCAGAGTTTTTAAAGCTATTTTTTTTTTTTTAAATCTGTGCTTTGTATTTGTGTTCTCATGGGTTTGTGTGGTCATGAATGGGCTAAATTCCAGGCAAATGAGGGATTTTGTTGTTAAAATGTGTGATGCATAATTCCACTTATTTGGTAACATTAAAACACTCATGAGCATATGAAACAGGTTTCAAATCTTATTTGTGGAAGTAGCTCGCTTTAAATGTATAGTTTAAAATGTAGATATATAGAAATAACCAAAGGGGTTTCAAAATACATTGTATCTGGTAAAATTGCTGAAATAACAGTTTATTGCTAGGACTAACAAATACTTCAGCATACAGGCTGGCCCATAAGTCCCTACCCATCCAGCACACAGATACACTGGATACATAAGATATATGGATGGGTAGGGACTTACGGGCCACCCGGTAGTATCTAGTTTTATAACTTTTGAAATTTGTAGGACGTTCTATATGTTCAAATGTTCTGATATCAATATACTGCTGTAGATATCATACATTATGGTGAAACCCAGTTCTTAAAGGGTAACTCCAAGCACCACGGCTTAAATGATTTGAAGTAGTTATGGTGTCGAGAGTTTGTATGTGCAGTGTTCTCGCTATGACAAAACAGAGATTACCCCATCTGCTGCTGGCAGTTTAACTGTTTTGGCAGCCTCATGGAACGTCATAAGCTAGCCCAGAACTAGTTTTTGGGCTGACTAATGTCAGAATTATAGTCTTTGGCTGTGAGTGGTCCAATGAAGCTCTTCAAGCCATTGAATGAAAGGATCAGCATCTGCAGAAGCTGGATGCATGTCACAACCAGCAATAGAAGAGATTCAGTGCCTAACAAGCCCAGGTAAGAGGGCCACATTTACCACATTCAGGGCCGCCATCAGGGGGTGACAACCATAACGGTCCTGGCCCCACAATTACTCTCTGCACCTATATATAGCGATGATCGCTATATATAGGTGCAGCCGCGGGACTCCCCCCCGGCTCCCTATACTTGCATAGGGGGCCCAGCAGACTGCAGCTGTACTTTACAACATTTCCCTCGCTCTAACTCCCGCGAGACGTGCGGCTGTTAGAGCGCTGCCATGGATTACCATGGCAACGTTCCGAGCGGCACGCACACCACATCTCGCGGGATTGAGAGCGAGGGAAATGCTGTAAAGTACAGCTGCTGGGCCCCCTATGCAAGTATAGGGAGCCATGGAATCTCCCCCCTCCCTGAACCAGGTAAGAAACAGTGAGGGGGGAATAACAGTTATTACATTTACATGCATACACTACTAAACACACACGCACACTGCATCCACTGCACAAACACACACACTGCATCCACTGCACAAACACACACACTGCATCCACTGCACTAACACACACACTGCATTCACTAACACACACACTGCATTCACTGCACTAACACACACTCTGCATCCACTGCACTAACACACACTGCATCCACTGCACTAACACACACTCTGCATTCACTACACTGACACACACTGCATTCATTACACTAACACACACACTACATCCACAACACTAACACACACACTGCATTCATTACACTAACACACACACTGCATTCATTACACTGACACACACTCTGCATTCATTACACTGACACATACTCTGCAATCATTGCACTGACACACACTGCATTCATTGCACTGACACAGTCTGCATTCATTGCACTGACACACAGTCTGCATTCATTGCACTGACACACACACTGCACTGACACACACACTGCATTCATTACACTAACACACACTGCATTCATTGCGGGGGGAGGCCAGGCATGGGGGTGGGGGGCGTGGGGCGTGGGGGGCCCAGACCTTGTGCTTTGTCAGGGGCCCCAAAATTTCTGGTGGCGGCCCTGACCACATTACCGGGAAATGGGGCCAAGGTACGCCAAGCATCATAACCACAACAACAGGCTGTTGTATTGTTATCGCTATAGTAACCCTTTAAATTACTGTAATTGGTTACACATTTTATTTGTGAATAAGGACACTTCACTATTTTTGAAATTGTTGTCCCAGTCTCATATCTCACTTACTTTTTTTAAATCTTCTTCAAGGTTCCAGCTGTTAAACTGAATGAACTTTTGGAAGACTTTTATGTCACTGTGAAGAAAACCGATGGGTCAGATTTTCTTGCTACCTCCCTTCATGCTATCCGTCGGGGGTTGGACCGCATCCTGAAAAATGCTGGAGCTGGTTTCTCTATAACCAGCAGTGTCTTCAATTCCTCTTCCCAAAAGCTGAAGGAAAAGCTAAGATTGCTCAACAAAGCTGGCATGTCAGGTTCTCGATCACGCAATATTGTCTATTTCTCACTGGCAGATGAAGAAGAAATGTGGAGAATTGGTTGTCTGGGGGACGATGGTCCGGTACCATTGTTGTCTTCTGTGGTAAAATATAATAGTCAATTTCTAAATATGAGGACTTTACAGGAGCATGCAGATCTGATGTTTGGTGACATTGAACTTCTGAAGGATGCAAATAACAGACCATTCTTCGCTAGAACAGACAGTGTGAAGAGGGACAAGCAGGCTAACCCTAACAAAATGTGTTATGGACAGGTATACCATGAGCATTCAAAGGGGCACAGAAGATGTCCATATTGTCTCTTATATAAGTACATGTATACTTACCGTCCACCTACACAGATGGAAGTAAATGCACCCTTTTACCTCACTGCTCGAAAAGAGGTTGGTTCAACGGATAATATCTGGTATGAAGAACAGAGAATGGGACTCAGATCTTTGCGAGGTGTTGTCCCAAAATTGGCAAAACGTGTGAAGCTTGATCAATGTGATAATTACACATTTGTTTCTTTTACTCAGACATTCAGAAAGTTTGGCCCTCTTAGCAACTATTAACATGTCTAATGCCCAAGTAAATGGTAAAAAATAATTACTTGCACAAATTTAACCAGCAGGATGCCTAAAGGGAGATTAAAACTATCAGTGCTAGAGATTCAGATGTTTTTTGTTTTTTTTTGTGTGTTTTGGGCTTAGTATATCTTAGTCTCAGGATTGACTTCATTGGTTCCACCGGGCTGTTTTTGTAAAACCCTAACTTGATCAGAACTAGGTAATTGGTGATTATTAAGAGCTGAGAAGGATTGATTTAGCATATATTTTCCAAGAATGCACAGTAAACAGTGCCTTTTAGTAAGTGAAGTTTAACAAGTATAATGCTAAATATACTTAAATTGTAATGCAATGTAATATCCACAAGCAGTCATAAACATAAGCACACAAAAGGTCGGTTAACCAGCAAACATCCATAAACCAGCAGGTTCTACACCTAAGATGAACAGAATTTATTTACATAGCACATCCTGGGTCCCCAAGAAGTAAACCTCCGTTAAAGAAAATGTTAGATATAGGCTTAACGGGACAAGTAACTGGATAGAGCATATGTGCAGAGCAAGGGCAGAATTAGGCACTGCTATAAGTTAGTCAAAATTTTGAGGTACTATTTAAAATGGTAGTCTAGAGCAGGTGTAGACAACCTTCAGCACTCCAGATGTTGTGGACCACATCTCCCCTTTGCTAGCATTATGACTGTAAAATATGGTCCACAACATCTGGAATGCTGATGGTTGCCTACTCAAGGTCTAGATTTTTGGTTACCAACTCCAGCCACAAGGAAATCCAACTTTCCAAGTTTTGTCAGAACTGAAGAATTGCTAAATCTTGCATTGTTGGTGTGTCTCAAGGACTGGGGTTGGTAACCACTGGTGCAGGCAACTATTTATTTTGTCATAAGGAGATTTGCCATTGCATCTCCCTGGGAAAACATAATTCTAAATTGCATTTAATATAAACTATTTCAATGGAAATCCACCTTTTTCAAGTGGTTTAATTTAGCAATATTTAATTTCAGATAGTTGTTTTTACAGTGACATGCTGGTATTTTAATGTTTGCTTTTTCTTAGCGCTGGGGTGATATCGGCAAAAACATTTTGTTAAAAAAGACTATCGGCTGGCTAGAGCAGCTATTTACCTCCTAATTTCAGCTGTCTGGACCTGTTACCCAAGCCAAATAGAAATTCTCAAATGTGAACTGTTCATTTAGCCCTATGACTGCTGTTGACATGAAAAAAAGCATTTCAGTGCACCTCAGTAAGTGCATAAAATGTATATGGTCATTCAAACTCATAAAAAATTATTTTGAAAAACCCTGAAATTTAGCCCTCATGCACTGGTCAGCCCCTGTCACAAAGACTATCATAACTGCCAAATTGCTTAAAGGAACGCTGTAGTGTCAAAAATACAAACGTGCATTCCTGACGCTATAGTTCTATTACAAATATTTAGGTGATTTACTCACCTTTTTTCGTCTCCGCGCTAGTTCCGCCCCATTGGCTGAGATCATTAAAACAATAAAAGATATGATTTTAGTGGGCTGCACCTATCTCCATGTCCACTTTAGTTATAGCGAAGGATTTGATAAATGTATTTAAGAATAATTATGTATTTTTGTGTATCTATAGCACCCATGAAGATATATTAACAGGGTTATTCAGTAAAGTGAGAATTCAAACTGAATTTCAAATTTAAAGATAAACGTTAGGGTCAGGAACACAAACATGTATGCCAGACCCCATAGTGTTAAAACCACCAGTTAGGTGGCTTACCCCCACCCTTAGCCCTCGTAGAAAAGGTTAAAACATACCTTATTTTCAGCACAGCGCGTGTCCAGCCACGCTGGCCCCGTCACCGATCCGCCTCCTAGGTGACATCATCATAATTTAACATTTTTAGCCAATCCAATGCTTTACCTATGGGGGAGCTTTGGATTGGCTGAAATTGACAAGGAGGTGGGATGGGGACGGGACCAAACGCAGTTTTGGAAATTCAGCACCTCTATGGAGAACGATCAGCGCCTCCATGCAAAGCGTGGAGACGCTGATGGTCAGTGTTGCACATTGTGAAGCACTGACCCAGGAAGCACCTCTAGTGGCCGTTTGAGGAGTGGCCACTGGAGGTGTTACTAGGCAGTAGTGTAAATATTGCCCTTTCTCTGAACACAAGATGGGACTTGCTAATGGTCAGAATGACCAATGATCTGAACTCAACACCCAGAGAGACCAGGCACTCAATGCTTGTGTAGAGGTACTCATTTACCATTATGCCTATCTCGACCCCATTTAGATTTTAAGTTGCTTGCACGTGCATAAAGCATAAAAATATTTTATTACATAAAATTAGACATTTCCTGTAAGGAACATTCCAAAGTGCATCTAAAACATTCTGGGAAATAATACTTCCAGAGCTCTTGTGGACTTTACAATTTCAATTTTACTGAAGATTACAGGTTACATTCCCACCATTACATTGACATTCCCACTGTTACTATACTTGAATATAAAAAAAACAACACAGTAATGCCTGTTTTCATTATGCAGCAGTTCAGTCATTTAAATCTTAAGCAGAAATGTCTTAAACAAACAATCATTCACATTTATAACTTCACCATTCTTTTAACAGTAAGATAATAACCAACAAGATGAAAGAATGTAACAAGCTATCCATTAGGATTGAAGGTTATAGAGATGCAATAAACAATAAGACTGGAGTTTTATATGTACAAGTTATCCTTTAAACCGAGAATTGGTGGAAATTTACTCAATAAATTGAAATTTTAGGACAAAATAGCCAAGCTCAAAGAGTAGTAATGGAGAGTTTTTCCAATTCAGTTACTATTGGTGTAAATTGGTTAAAATTGTTCAATTCCCTGGTCAATTCACAGTTTGCTGGATAACCTTGTTTATGTTAATATGGTTGTGGTTGGTTATACATTGAGATTTCAGCCACCAACTTATTGCATAGAAAGTCTTTTTTCCCCATTTTTTTTTCCAAAACCGTTTTTATTGTCAATGTATGGTACACAAATATAACACAAGTGACATCATCATTTATGCTTTTAGGTGGTTATTCGGTAAGGTACATTCACTATTTTGCGATTTTTCAACGTAAACAAAACAGTTCCCCATTTTTATAACCATTGCTCGAAGCAAGTTATAATTTAACGAAGTCTGATTTCTAATATTATTAAATGCTATGTTGGGGCACAAAAAAATTGTCCTTTTGTTTTTCCTGTGATTACATGTTAGTGCTTAAAACTTACTGAATTTTACTTCACTGTTAAACAAAAATAAGAAAAAAGTTTTCAAATAAAAAATAGAATAATCTTGTCTCCTAACAGTAGGCACAATAGCTTTACTTTCTGATGGAATTTTTGAATTATATTTACATGTTGGGCTAATCAGTCTAATTGACTTATCAAAGATAGAAGCAGAAGTGCCTCAGTTATGTGTTTATAACTTTGAGGATGTTAAAATGGCGTGAACCATTGTCTGTCACTTGTTTCTTGTTTGAAAGACAACTTATTATGTGAGTTATATACACTGGATCTGCACACACTGCTAAATACTATGTTTTTCACATAATAAAATCATTCTGTTATTGAGTTTGTTGTTTTTTTACAATCATTTATTCAGAACGTTGTCTTTATATATAGTTCAATATTTAATTTGTGTGATGTTTAAAGTAACTTTACATAAGATCTTGCTGGGCCTCTTGTCACACCTCTCTTCTTCAGGAAGGCCTGAGAGAGTGGTGAGTAACTATTTTCTATCGCAGACTCCATCCTCAAGCAGGATCATTTTGACCAATCTTTCCCCTCTTTGGTTGACACCACACTTTTTCATGACCGTGATCAACAATTTGGAATTACAGACATAACCAAATATATTTTGAGATACTGCTCAGTTTCATCGTCATTTTATTTATATTGCTGTGTTATTTTGCTTTATGATGGAGGTAAATCAACCGAGAAAAACTGTAAAAAAAAAAATGGAAAATCTAATTTGAATCCAAAAAACAGGTAAGAACCAACAAACTTACATTACTCCTGGGTCCTTCAGCAAAAATCCTCAGTAACTAACCCCTTCAACCTTTTTGTCTCCCTTCATCCTTCTCCCCTTTCTGTGTGTAATTAGCCAATTTTAATTTTGTTTTGCATCTTTACTATATTTGTGCCTCGTAACACCTCTACTCCCTTATGTGTACCTTTTCCCTCTTTTCCACAATTTGTGATTCTGTAGCACTCGTCTTCCAAATTTGCACCCTCACTCTTCCCAGTGTGCCTCCACAATTTGCACCTCACCAAAATTTGTTCCACTCTTTTTTGTGACAACTCACTCCTCTTCTCCCCATTTCTGGGGGCTCCTTACACCTTTTCTTCCCTTTTTAGGGGTTTCTACCATCTGGAAATAAATATTTTTTTCTAAATTCTCATAAAAAATTTAAAACATTATAAATAGCAGCCCGTTAGCCTCTGAAATTCCCAAAAGGTAATCCTCTGCCTAGTGGGATGTTTGCATTAACACTCTTGATTGTTACTGAAAGCTGCTACAATTCACTGCCTTCTGGGATAAATCACAAAGTCCATTTTTACAACTTGACACTTGAAGAACTCTAAAGAGGTACACGTTAATAATTCTGATAAATAGCAAAATAAAAAAGTAATGCATTCTCCTCAACAGATCTCTGATCTACTCTACTCTTTCAGTCTTTCATTGTTCGGGTACTAGATAATTATAGGATACCTAAATGCAGGCATAGGAAAGTGATAGAAAGAGCATTATCAGACCTTAGAGTGGCTAGGCTTAACATGAAGGAAGGACACCAACTAAGGAAAACCAGTAAACGTGTTGAGATCAGAATTTCGAAAAAGCCAGTATTTGGACAAGCCATGGCCAAGGTCAGTGAGCAGGGAATATCAACGAGCAAGCTGTGTCAAGGTCAACATATAGGAACACAGTATACGCCAAACTCAGAACCAAACGAACTGCACAGTAAGGACCACGAACTGGCAATGGGCCTGACAGGCAGACCTTGTAAACTCCTAGTTTATGAGGACACAGGGACAGGCCCCTGCGTGAAAATGATGTGCCTTAATGCCGTCAATAAATGACGTCGCCGTATGTCTGGCGTCTTAACTTTTAACAGCAGAGAGAAGCATCAAAGAAAAGATGCTGGGTCATGTCAAATAATGACACAGACTCACGACCTTGCATCAACAATTTTGCAGCTTTAGTTGTAAAATAAAAAAAAAAAAGGACATTAAAGAAGCATCCAGCAGTAACCAAGTTAGTGACACAAGGATACCTAACCGTTATACAATTACTACCTTATATTTCTATGTCCTTTGCTTTTTATTGCATTCTTTTTGCATTTTTAATATAACCCAAAAATATGAAAAAGTGATATTCATGTATCGCATAGCTGCCTGTAAGCAAGAAACATCTGTGTAAAAATGGCACCAATAGAACCACTGTATAAAAATAGCAATGCAATTTTTGTTAGATTTTAAGTTGCTTGCACGTGCATAAAGCATAAAAATATTTTATTAAATAAAATTAGACATTTCCTGTAAGGAACATTCCAAAGTGCATCTAAAACATTCTGGGAAATAATACTTCCAGAGCTCTTGTGGACTTTACAATTTCAATTTTACTGAAGATTACAGGTTACATTCCCACCATTACATTGACATTCCCACTGTTACTATACTTGAATATAAAAAAAACAACACAGTAATGCCTGTTTTCATTATGCAACAGTTCAGTCGTTTAAATCTTACGCAGAAATGTCTTAAACAAACAATCATTCACATTTATAACTTCACCATTCTTTTAACAGTAAGATAATAACCAACAAGATGAAAGAATGTAACAAGCTATCCAGTAGGATTGAAGGTTATAGAGATGCAATAAACAATAAGACTGGAGTTTTATATGTACAAGTTATCCTTTAAACCGAGAATTGGTGGAAATTTACTCAATAAATTGAAATTTTAGGACAAAATAGCCAAGCTCAAAGAGTAGTAATGGAGAGTTTTTCCAATTCAGTTACTATTGGTGTAAATTGGTTAAAATTGTTCAATTCCCTGGTCAATTCACAGTTTGCTGGATAACCTTGTTTATGTTAATATGGTTGTGGTTGGTTATACATTGAGATTTCAGCCACCAACTTATTGCATAGAAAGTCTTTTTTCCCCATTTTTTTTTCCAAAACCGTTTTTATTGTCAATGTATGGTACACAAATATAACACAAGTGACATCATCATTTATGCTTTTAGGTGGTTATAGAACCACTGTATAAAACTAGCAATGCAATTTTTGTTTGTATTCTTTTTATTCCATTGATTGAACTTGTATCATACAGTGCAGCAATAATGCATCTCTTAAAAGCCTATATATACGTAAATATATACATACTAAGAAAACGAGTAGTGTCACTTGACACTCTGTACCATCCACATTCGAGTCATAAAACTTCAGGGGTTTTTAATTCAATTTTTTTAAATTGTTGTTTAGAGAGATCATAAAAAGATATACGCTTTATGTGTATCCCTACATACATTACACATGCATACAGTATAACATTAAAGGTATGCGATTTGATGTACAGGCTTGGATTTGTATTAATTACAGATGAATTATACATGAAATATTTATATTACAAATCAACCATGCAGATTAGTGTCTGATTTTCCAAACTGAATTTCTTAAGGCTCAACGAAATCCCTTGGGAATTAAAGGAACCATCTTCCAATCAGAGATTGTTCCAGTTCTTCAAACATTTAGCTGCACAGACTACAAAGCAGATATGAGACCGGATGTCTTGAATCTCCCTCTTCATTCCACCTACGAAGAGAACAGTATAACCCAAAAGTAAAAACTCTTCTATCACAGTATATCTATTACACATAAGGATAGTAAAGGCATCAGGGCAAATTCAGATATCCCTCATCCAGGATGTCCACACGGTGTTTAAATAGCATCTCTCCTAACCAGCCATCCTTGAGAACCATTACTTATCGTTGTACTAGCTACTCTACTCAGAGCAATTATAGAAGTTTATGTAGAAAAAGTACTTGTCAAAACGTTCTCTCTACACAAAAGTATCCCTCTTTGTTTATTTAAATTTTTGGGAATCTCATTATCAGTTCAAATGTAAATGTAAGGATATTTAGAACACAACTGTCCAAAAAGTAAGTACCAATTTTCTTAGAACTGTAAAGCTCATGATGCTTTACCAGCTTAGGATCCATGACCAAAATCCAGCGGTTTTTGTATTAAATAAAAATCAAAAACAATAAATTGACTCTAAGATTGGATATACTAAAGTCTTAAAGGAAGACTCTAAACACCTAAAACAAACTCTGGTAATAGTGAGAATGACACAAAAATACTGTAAACAAAAAAAAAATCTTGCAAGAAGAAAAAAAGCGAATAACATTTTTAAAACTTACTATTAGAAATTTAATTTCTTCAATCTTTCGCCCCACAGAGGCCAAATACAAATCCATTAGATCCTGCGGAAAGTGTTACTCTCTAAAGTTAGCAACAGCAGCTTTTATCTATAATGGCTGGACGGTGAGATTTACAGGTAACGTTGCAAACAAGCCCTAATTATTGTCATGTTTCATTTTTTGTCCATAGCAGCAGCTCTACTTTTAGAACGTTAAGCTAGAAAGGTTTTTTATACTTACTTTTTTATGCTCATTGTTTCTCTTTTTCCACTTACTCTGTTCCTTCCTGACAATGAGCTACCGGTGTCTCTACAATATTTGATGCAAGTTGTAGGGAGGTGTTTTTTTTTTTTAAATAATAGGTGAGAGCAGATATTCTAACAATGATTTACAGGACACCAAGTTACTCTGCTCCAGAATAGAGCTAAAAACAGCTGTTTTAATTTCTACATTTAAATGTTGTTTTCAGACCTCACAAACACATATTTGTTAAATATGGTAGATAACTAAACGAATTAAAAATCCTGGAAAGTGATAGTTTCCCTTTAAAGTAAAATACTGTTGCACTGGCTGAAGTCACTAGTTGGTGCACATTGCCCTATATTTTCTTTTCCTAGACCATATCCCTGAGTTAAACTATTTTCTTATTTTTAAACGATTAAAATGTTAATTTCTCCCTAAAGTGTTTAATACCTTCACATGGTTGCGTTCTCAAAAAGATAGATTTTCTTAAAATCAAACATTAGTTTTGTTATGTAATATTTTCATCTGGAAGTTTGTACCTATCTGTTGGTATGTGTTTCTTGTGATGATATCGGTGCATTCTTCGGGACATGACAGACACAAGGAGTTGAGACTATCTGTGAAAACAGTATGTAAATATAAATGTATGTAAATTTAAAAACATACATGCACAATCAAATTACTTACTGCATATCGGTGACGGGCCTTGATTAAATATTTTTGGACAAATCTTTGGAAAGATTGCTGGCTTACAATTAAACTGCACGTTGTTGACAAAAATATAAATTGTGCTCATTTGGATGTACATATAACTTACTATATTGTGTATTTTCAGCATAAACTGGAGGAAACGACCGCTTTGAAAAGAATGCTAAAAGAGAGTGAAAGGAAATGGATACATTTGATTAATAGGGCTATAGTGACATACTAATCTAGGTTAAAAAAAATACTCAAGTTATCAAGTTCAAAATTTAACAAATCTGTTTCTGCTCTTGATCCAAAAGTAGGCAAAAAAAATAGTAACACAAAACAGTTTGAAAATAATATAAATTGTGCCACAAACAAGGTAACAAATGTCCTTCTCAATTTCAAAATGGCAATCAAATACTTAAGTGGACCAACACATTATCACCTACATTCAATATTGCACTCTGTAATACCATGTTTCCTCCAGTTGTACAGTCCTGTTAATGAACGGATTGCAGACAGTTCTTTGCATTGACCCTGTATATATTTGTATAGGGCGGCTATCACTTCCCCTCTGGGCTGTCTGTATTCTAAAGTAAATCATTTCAGGTTTTCTAACCTTCTTCGTTCCCCATTTGTTAATTGTGTAGCCTGCTTTGCACTATATCTAATCTCCCTCATGTCCTTTATTTATAACTGGTGGCCAAAATGTCCCTGTGTATTGAAAATGAGGTCTTAATCGTGTAAATTTATACCCTTATTATATACCTTTCAGGCCTGTGCAACTTTATTGCATATGCCTCAATACCCTCTGTCCCTGTGCTTCAAACTCATCTTGTTGCAATTACATCTGTTAGCAGGACTTGCAATTTTTTTTATTTTTGTCATTCTTTATTTTTGCGGTGCTTTCATTACACAACAAGCGAGTTATAACATGTCAATGATATCAAGATGGTCACAGGCAGCTACCAGCATATATGGAGGGGATAGCACCATTTTTTGCATTAAAGAAAGAAACGCGTACTGAGAATACCACAGTATTAACAATGGTCAGGTCAGTGGTAGAAGATTTTGAAATTAGATCAGCTGACATCACAAGAAACAAGTCATTGAGGGCATTGATGGCATTGATATCCACTAAGATGCTAGGGCTCAACAAATTTTCTTTGAATCTAGGAGCAAGCTAAAAAAGTTAGGAGGCAGGATTTTTTAGTCTTAGAAAGCTTTATTTTTAATGACAAAAAATAATGTTTTAAAGGGACACTGTAGTCACCAGGACCCTACAGGCTTTTCAATGTAAACACTGCCTTTTCAGGGAAAAAAGCAGTGTTTACATTGCTCCCTAGTGACACCTCTAGTGGCAGTCACTCAGTCGGCTACCAGAGGTGCTTCCTATATCAGTGCTGCATAGTGTGCAGCACCTACATTTAGCATTTCCACGCTGTGTAAGGAGGTGCTGAACATTCCTCATTGAGATGCATTGATTCAATGCATCTCTATATGGAGATGCTGATTGGCACAGTGTTTTGCAGTGCATGCACAACACCTTTCCAATACTTTTCTATGGAAAATCATTGGATCGGCTGAGATATTATATGTTTTATTTTAATTTAAGTCCATTCAGCCCCTCTACCTTTGGGAGAGCTGGAGTGAATCGGCTTTCCCTGGGGCCCAGTGGGCGGCCTAGGGAGAGGGGAGGTGGGTGGCCGGCTGTGCATACTGTAGGCGGCGAGGGAGCTGTGATCTTCTTGTTCTGCTCCCTTGCGCTTAGTGATGCCAGGGCCAGAGTGACATCATAGCTCCCTCGCTACCCACCTTGTAGGGAACATGCCCACAAATCCCAGGTGCCAGGACAAAAAACCTGGGATTTGTCAAGGCCTGTGTTAGTCCTCCTATTGTACTGTGCTACAGAATTTGTTGGCGCTTTATAAATAATAATGATAATAATAATATTGTTGTCTAGTCTATTGTCTATAGTTACTCAAGTCTCTCATTATCAGTCTTGCCCATTAAATGAATCAAATGCACTTCTTTGTCAAAGAAGTTTGTAAAAGAAAAAGAGGCATGTAGATGTTAAAAGGTATAGAAACATACATACAAAGTAGCGAACTACAAATAAAAAAGCAATGAAAAACGTCTGACATTGTAGTGCTATACATGCGGTATTGTATTCGTCATTATTGAATGTGCATGTAATGTTCTAAAGCTAGCATAAAATGCATTTTTACTTGGTACTTACAGTTGCCTTGCACTGTGTATTTAGTATCTGTTCTGTACAAAGAATTTCTGTGTATCAGATTGATGTAGTGCCAATGATAAAGAAAGCTGCTTTGTACATAGGATATATATATATTCACCCATCACACAATGCCACATTGCTTTGGCTAAGTTTAACAAACAGATTCATTGTGCATATAAATGTAAAATAATATAAACCGTATGTAAACAGTAGTTTATTTGTGTAGAAATGAAAACCTATTAATGCAGTATGCTAAGAGATCCTCATTACTGTATTCTTATTTATTATTATAGTTTAATTGCCAGCTGTCTACAATATACCTAATGTTATTTTTATAGTACTTTTATAACAAATATTATAATATTATTAAACTGTTTGCAAGACAGTAATTCATATGGTAATTTATATATTTAAACGAAATCAATAAATTTAAAATATATATATATATATTATTTTTTTTGCAGTGCATATGAGTATAACAAACGCTCATGGGCTACCCCAATGGCAATCCTCATGCTTTTTTCAAACATCTGTAACATTGAGGTATACGTTAGTACTTGCACAATTTTATAGTTAGGGAAAGGTTTAGTAAGATCATCATAGGCTAGTTATGATATAAAGCAGGACACATAAGTTGCAAGGCATGCGATTAAATCAAACTGCACCATAGTTAAACAGAATGTAGAGTACAGGCTAATTAGTGCATGTCTCTGCGTGTTTTGCATGGTTAAGACCCTTTTAGCCAAATGCATTTACGGTCATATTTTCTACGTTAATTAGACGTTTAATGGTGTCCAGTGTAATCAGTGTGGTTAGTTTAACTGACATTGCTTCAATTTTTCATGCAGCAAATCAATCATGTAACGCATTAATGCTAGACTTTACATTAGAGGGCCCATGTGGGTCTGCTCGGCTAATGCCATTTTCTGGCATGCTGTCAACACTGGACAAACTAGCGGCATGGTGATAGCTGGGATAGTGATATCAACGTGTATGAGAGCTGGGCATATGCATTAGAGTGCAAAAAGAGGAGTACTATATCTGCAACGCTTATTAAACAAACATATGTGTAGTAGTAGTTGGAGGCTAGATCAACATGTCACACCTGAAATATAAACTAATCGTTAGACTAGTCAGACATGGTGATTGCTACTAAAAACATGCAAGAGAAAGAAAAAAAAAGAATGATTAAAAAGACAGGCCTGGGGGCGGGGCCTGACATCCAAGATGGCCGGACGTGCTCTCTGAAAGCTCCAGCACCAGCAAGCGCAAAAATCCTGACCAAACAAATGAAGCCAGCAGCACAAGGTGCTCAGAAAATGACACAGAACCTCGCAGGGACAGAATGATATCTGTCCCGCGCCGAAACCCAACTCGAGAGCCTGAACCAGCCATGCGGCCTAAACCGGAGCGGAGCCTGAGGTCTGGGGGAGGCGGCCGATCACCTGGCACGGGACCCCGCTCGCAAGCGAGAATCAAACACTGCCCTGCCAACCCCCCCTCTGGTGGGGGATATCCCGGTCCTCACTGGGGACGAATACTCCCGAACAAGCGACAAAGCCTGCAGTCAAACAAAAGTGCCAGGGCCCAATTGGATTGGCACTGCAACCCAGCGCCACTTATGTAGGCACCCGCCCAGAGCCTCCAGAGCAGCCTCCCTTCGGAGGCAATGCCGAGGACCCGGATGGCGGAAAACATCGCCATATCCCCCGGGCGCCAGCACCCGTTCCTATACACACCAATGGGGGACCGCCCGGTATGCACAATCCGCTTACCACTCAGCGGCACCTGAAACCTCCGTCCATCAGGCAGAACTCACCACCTCCCAGGCTCACACTCGTGAAGGTGAGACTAACCGGAGCGGTGAACACCCCACATGGGCTTTAAAAAGGGTCCGGCGAGACGAAGCAGGCAAGGTTACTACCCCCCCACACACGCCAGGAGGCTACTGGGACTCACTCTTCATGTGACACAGCGAGAACCAGCATGGGCATCGGGACTTTATACACAATGGGCTTGTGCTTCCCGGCCCGAGCGGATTACCCACAACCCCTGCGTCTCCATAGAGCGGGCGTCGGCTAAATACGGGCCACCCTGAGGACTGAGACCTAAAAGCTTCACCCAAGCATGGAGAAAAGTTTTCTATGCTGCAACACGAACTCTCAGTCTGTTAATTTATGCGGATCTGCTGTCTCCTTCTAATTACTCTCACACTGATTTAATGTTATAGGCCAAACGATTAGTAACTTTATTTATTGTGAATGTTATTCCTAGCTTATTCCAACCCATATCACTATAGCCTTAAGAAGTACTCATATCATCGTTAATATGTAAAGCATAAATGTGATAGCGTGGATCGGGGGGAGCGACGGGCCGTGACGGCCTTGTGATGTGATGCACAAAATAACTGTTAACTTTGGCGCCTCTGGGGCCTGGTCAGACTGGGGCTCTCCCCCCCCCGAGGACCGCCGTGGTATTCCGGCCTGGCTCCGGCGCGCCCCGGCCTGCGCCAACTCCCATCAGGGCGCTCCGGCTCGGGGTCGGCACACATGGCAAAACCCGGTTAGGCCACAACCAGGGTTCTGGGGTCGGAGATCGGGCTGGGGACGCGGGACTTGGGGTCCTGGCTGCCCTCTTGCCTCCCTTCGACAATAGCACGTGAAAATAGGCCACAAGGCACATCTCCACAGATCTGCCATAGCCATATATGGGACACATAGACCCCTCCGAGGGCCGAACCTTGGCTTAACAATAAAAGGCTTGGGCACCCCCCCTCCCCTTCCTGCCCTTCCTGCCCACCACGATGCGTAAAGAAACAATCCCTGCCTACAGACACCCTGCTCCAGCTATTGGCGGAGTGATGGGATGCTTATAACACAAAAAAAGCACACAAATCTCCATTTTATATATTTATCTATTCATACTTACGTTAATATTTACCACTGTATTGTTGCCTTTCTGACTGTACCTGCTATATGTATGTATCCAAAAACAAAGACACGCAACAAAACCCCGAAACCCAACTGAGTAACTTATCCTGCCTGTGTTTGGGGCGGTGGCCTCGCAACCCAACACCACCTAGCCAAGCCAATGCTCCCAGAACCGAACAGCTGTGTGCCCCCCACACCTCACCCAGGCATGAGCACTGCGGGCCCCGCCTCTAGGGTACCTACCCGTCAGCCTAAGCTCTCCCAACCTGTAAGAAGAGAACTACTATCTGAAACCAAACATCTGCTTAACAACATATAACAACCCCAGGTGTGCAATCTGTTACCTGCAGAACCCAAACATATCACCAAATAGACTGATTCCGACAGGGTCAGTCCCCAAAATAATGGCCCCCCAACTCAAATGGCACACCAATCAAGACGCGCACCCACATCACCTAACCACCTAGGCAGAACGCGACACATCACAAAGAGTGACAGCTTGTACATAGTTCACACGAAACTCCCATGCCTTCCCCCCAGGGGTGACCCTGTGGCCCCAACGTGCCCCTTCCCCTCAGGCTGGGGTGGGGCATGGGGGCGCTGGGGGAACACCAGTCGCATCCCAGACCCCAGTTAAACAGGTTCTGTAATCAGCAAACACACCCACTCCCTACAGCCCTCCTGCTTGCTCGCCACTCTCTGGCAGCTGATCACTCCCCCACCAACTCTGTATCTTGCCACTGGCCCCTGACCCCAAAGGCTGAGAGACCGCTGGCAACACAGACCACCTTTGCTGGCACTTGAAATAAGACCAGCACCCACCTCCTCTATCCAACCCACACCCCGTTCTCGCTGCCCTTTGGGATCCTCCAGACCTCTCTCCCCCCCTTTCCTCCTGAACAACCACCTTACCCCCACCTCACACCACAACACACAGCCGTACAACCCCAGGCAATGCCACTCAAACTACATTGCATCTCAATAATGCTAAAGGCCTCAACAACCCCAAGAAACGCCACTCCATGCTACGCTGGGCCCACAGCCAGAAAGCAGATATCCTCTTGATCCAAGAAACCCACTTTACCTCTCATAAGCACTTCCAACTCAAGAGTAAACACTACAACCGATCCTTTTCAACACACTCACGGAACACGAAACCCAAGGGCATCTCTGACATAAAGGCATTTCCAGACAAATCAGGGAGATTCCTGACAATGACAGGCAAAATCGGCCCCACAACCTACTCCATCACCTCCCTATACGCACCCACAACCCCAGACCAGACATGCTGGCCCACAATCTCTACTCATCTAACAACACACCGCACAACGTTCACCATAATAGGCGGCGACTGCAACGCAACCAACATGCCAATACTAGACAGCTCTGCTAGACCCACTGGAGGAACCAGACCCTTTACTAACGACACCCTCTTTTCCCATTTCCTAAACACATAACCTCCTGGACATCTGGAGGGCTCAACACCCCTCGACACTCGACTACACATTCTATTCCCACCCCCACAATTCTTACTGCCGTATTGACTACTTCCTAATTTCCCCCAACCTCACCACCAGAGTCACACACACCTCCATAGGCAACATCACATGGTCGGACCACGCCGACATTTCCCTAACCCTCTCAATCCCCAACTTGACCAGACCATGGACCTGGAAACTAAACCCGCAACTCCTTCACGACAAACTAGTGACTACAACCCTTCCAAAAGACCTAGCTGAATATTTCACCCTGAACGAACCCTCCGTCGCCTCGCCGATCACCGTATGGGCCGCCCATAAACCCGTTATCAGAGGTAAACTCATAGCCATAGCGACAGCCCATAAAAAACAACACAACAAGCGGCTAATGGAAACAATAACTGAAATTGGCCGCCTAGAATCTCTTCACAAAAAAACCCCCCACCCCAACACCTAGAACACCAGTTAGAGCTCTACTCAAAAGCCTTTCCCTCTCAGCAACCACTAAAGCACTCACATGGACAATACAAAAATACTATGAAAAAAAACAAGCCAGACTCTATGTTAGCCAAGAAACTCAAAACCCTGACTGAAACAAAACGAATCTCTAAAATCCGCACTTCAGATGGCACAATTAGCGAAATCCCACATAAGATAGGCGAAACCTATCAGCAATACTTCATAAAACTATACAATCACACACTCGACCCCCCCTCAGAACTCATCCACTCACTTACAGACGACTTTCTCCAAAAACTCTCCCTCCCCTCACTTACCAATGAAGCCAGAGCCCTCATCTCTGCAGAAATCGAGCCGGAAGAACTAATAGCAGCAATAAAAACCCTAAATCCCAAGAAATGCCCGGGACCAGATGGACTTACAGCCATCTACTACAAATCCTTTAGCGACATACTCATCCCCAGACTCAGTAGGGTCTTCAACACCATGCTGCGTGGTGAACCGCTACCCCCAGACATGACCCAAGCCAACATCACTCTACTACCAAAACCAGGAAAAACACATGATGACCTAGGCCACTATCGCCCTATCTCCCTACTAAACGTGGACTTAAAAATAATGACTAAAGTCATGACCAATATACTGAACCCCCTTCTACGACAACTAATCAACTCAGACCAAGTAGGCTTCATCCCACACAGACAAGCACCAGACAACACAAGAAGAACAATAGACCTAATATGGTACGCCAACCACAGACGCCTCCCAACAATAATACTCTCCCTGGACGCAGGGAGGCCAATTTTTACAAGCAATGTACCACAAACCCACCGCTCAACCACTAATTCCCAACACAACCCCACCTCCTTCCCAATCCTAAACGGCACACGTCATGGGTGCCCTCTCTCCCCTCTCTTATTCGCCCTATCCCTGGAGCCCCTTCTAGAGACCATACGAAAGAACCCACTTATTGAAGGGTTACAGGTCAGGGACGAAACATTCAAAGTCACAGCATATGCAGACGACATACTCCTAACCTTAACCAACCCCGGACCATCCATAATAGCTCTCCTGACGACACTACAAGAATACTCAACAATCTCGGGATACCTCCTTAATGCAACCAAATCTGACTTATTACCCCTCAACCTCCCCGACAATGTCCTTAACGCCCTAAAAAGCAAATTCCCCTTCCACATCAACCCAACAGCCATCACATATCTAGGCATTCAACTGACCAACGACACTGCCTCCCTATACACGGCCAACTACCCCCCCTTATTACGTAAAGCACACAAAGACACACAAAGACCTCCACCGCTGGAAAACCATGAACATCTACTGGCTAGGGAGAGTGGCCTCTGTAAAAATGAACCTCCTTCCCAAATTCTTATACGCCTTCCAAGCTTTACCCATTCCCTGCAAGAAATCCGACCTCAAACACCTACAGACTGCTATAGATCAATTTATATGGAATGGCCAAAAACCCCGGGTATGACGCTCAACCCTATATGTACCCAAGCCCTCAGGTGGCCTGGGCCTTCCCAACTTTTTGCTTTACCAACACGCAACCCACCTTGCACAAATCCAATACTGGCACCTCCAACTCACAAACGATGGGTGGACCTAGAACACCTAATTTTTGGCAGAGACCATCCCTCCCAATATATGTGGCTCCCCAAACAGTACAGACCACTGCCACCCCCCACCTCACCTGCCATCACCTACTCCCTAGACCTCTGGGACCGACTCAGCAATAAATTCGACCTATACACAGGTCTCTCACCGCTCACCCCTACCGCTCACCCCGCAACCAGCTGTTCCCACCAGGCCTAACCCCACAACACTACGCACACTATGAGGAAAGAGACATAGTCAGGCTAGGACATCTGTACCCCAACAGCAAACTGCTACAATACACTGAAATCCCCAACTCTGACACCCTAAACTCCTTTGACCATTTCCGATTCCTCCAACTCTGGAGCTTCGCCGCGTCAGACACAATCCGCTTGGCAGCTACCTCACCTCTCACCGAGTTCGAACGGGACTGCCTTAGAACTCCATCTCGAAAAAGCCAGATATCCAATCTATACATAACACTAACCACACACCACTCCCAAGTCATTCTGCCATACATCTCAGCCTGGGAAAAGGACCTTGGACGACCCCACGGACATCATTCAAATCAATATCGATCTGTGTCACCCATAAAGAACAAGCATACAAAATGCTTTTCAGGTGGTACCTCACCCCCCACGCCTTATGGCAATGAAATGCACTTCCTCTAACCTCTGCTGGAAACAATGCAGTGAAACCGGCACCTTTCTCCACTGCTGGTCAACCTGCCCGAAGCTAGTCCCCCTATGGAAAACCATAACGTCCCTCCTAACCAGACTACTAAACAGACCAGTCCCCCTAGACCCCTGGGCTCTCCTACTCTCAAAACCCATTGAACCCTTCACCCACAACGAAAACAAACTCATCGCCTGAATAGCCCTATCCACTCGCAGGGCGATAGCCAAAACATGGTCCACCCCACACATACCCACCACAAAATATTGGACAGTATTGACATGTACAAACTAACGGCACAAATGCATGACACACCGAACTCCTTCCATAAAATTTGGGACCCTTGGATAGAAGGACATGCCTCCCTACTGTGGTAACACTACACAATCCCACGCCACCGCAACCACAACTCCACCCCAGAACAAACCCCCACAACAAAGTATGCTCCAATCGATAGATACTAGACACGGAGTAAACGAGATATATGAGGGTTTTACTATGCTATAAAGTGCAGCAATGCAAGCTAGAACATGGCATGTTTAATAACATACTACAACCGGATATGATATAGCCCTCTGCCATATGTTTCACTCTCCCCTCTTACGTTTAGTGCACAACATGCCTGATATTTAGCCTTGCTCCCACTGAGTTACTGAGGGCACTAGCATATTACTTATTAGTACCTACAACATACAATATGAGATAAGCTTTACCATACTGTTTAATCATAAAAGCTGGTTTAACTCTTAACATGTTCTCTATCCTGACTATAAAAAAAACAACAACTGTGCAATGTCCTTCAATGCCATACAAATGTTAATATATGTTTCCATAACTGCTTGTACCAGCTATCATGGCAGTGCAAACATGATTGTTCACACTATGCACAAAAAAAAAAAAAGACAGGCTGGATTTACATTGGTCAGCACTGCAGGACTTATGGAGTTTACTACTCGGCATCAGCGAGCCCCAAAAAGCATACCGAGGTTACCATTATATAGCAATGCTGCCCGCTAGGCTATGGATGCCTGTGAGGGTGCAGTGTAACTGACTAAGACAGCTAATGAAGAGTATGCTACCTAACAGGCATAACTTGCAGGAGGTAGTGCTATGAAACATACTGAACTAAGATTATGCAATAATAACATGGCATGGTTAAAGATGAGGTTGGTGCTTGTGGGTTGCCGGGGTCCGTAACCAGTCATCTGTGTCAAGGCTACAGAGCCGAATGAAGGCGCAATAGCCACTTTGCGGACCCTCACCAGAGGTGCAAGAGGGGACAGTCACCCAATACCTGCGTTGTGCAAGTGTTGCGGTCCGTGGCTTTTTCTGATGGAGGAGTGGTCACCGCTTGTATATGGGCTCAGTCCACTCAGGGGAGCAATGCAGCATTGTGGAGGTGAGGTGCCTCTCCGGCCCTGGAGCTGTGCAAGAGCTGGTACCCTCTGGCCACGAGCCTGGAGTCCTTCAAGGTCTTCCCCGTCGGTCTTCCCCGTCGGGAGGGCGGTGTGGGCCCTGTGTGGGTCAGGTGTGCGTTGTCGTGTGCGTCTTGCGGCCCTCCGCTTGTGTGGCCGGTACCTGTGGGTCTGGACCTGTTGTGCCCTCAGTCCAGGTGGGCATCTTTTGCAAAGTGTAGGAGTGGGGGACAACATAAGACGTTTCCCGGGCCTCCTCGTACTGCGAACTTGATCCCCGGTAGGTGGTGCATGAATAGCCACAGCAGGTCTTGTGCGGGCCAGCAGTTGAGCCCAGAATCTGTCAAAAATATCATCGAGGGAGTCCCTGACATTGAGAGTGGTGCTGGGCATTTCAGGCTGCTGCAGCTGCTTGCCTTGTGTAGCCGAGTTAATTAGGACCACCATCTTGGAGATCTTCACCTCTGTTCTGTCGGCCTCTTTGTCAGGTATGAGGCTAAGCTATCTCCGTTCGGTGGGGACCGGGATATCCTCACCAGTCCACAGGGGGGAGAGGGAGTGTATGATTAGTGTTTGTGTGCGGCTTAGGTCAGGGAGCGGAAAGCAGCCACCTTCCCACTCCACCTGCTCCTGTAGGCCTCAACCCGCTGTCACAGTTCCTGGGTACTGCAGGCGTCAGATTTGGTATCTACAGGTGTGCGCCGGCTTCTCCAATCTGTAGGGTTTCTTCAAGAAAATTTTCCAGCACTTTAGCCCAAGATATCATGCAGATATTGTCCATGTAGCAGGAGCAAGTGGTCGTCTGTGCTCAACAAAAAAAAACGGTAAAAATTTAGATTGAAAAAAAAACTTACAAATTATTATAGGATTGTGACCACTGTCCAAGCTGACAACCACGGCACTGCTGCTATCAACTTAGCAATTGCTAAGAAAGCTGTGCGAAAAAGAAACTCACATAGACATTAAAAAGGATAGTTTCATCGTTAGAGGGGTCAACTAGAATGGAACAAAAATGTCTATCATAAGCTTATCTTGGCAGCTAGATGGGATATGGCCCAAGCCTGGCTTAAACCTACTATTCCTTCTATTTCAGTAGTAACAGACAAAATAAAAAATAACTGTCTAATGGAGAAATTGACGGCTCAGGTGAGGAACTCACAGCATAAGTTTGCGAACATCTTGGAGCCCTGGAGTGCTAGTGAGTTTGTGGACTAATTGAAGGGGCCTGCCTTTTTAAAGATATTTTGGGCTGGACCGCATGGTCAATAATATGGTCGGGATTGGTGGCATCAATAGCAACCTCCTTTCTTCCCTGTATGCTTTTTCTTACTGTTCCTTTCTGTCACCTCTTACCCTTTGAAGTGATTTAGATTGAAAAAAAAACGTAAAAATTATTATAGGATTGTGACCACTGTCCAAGCTGACAACCACGGCACTGCTGCTATTAACTTAGCAATTGCTAAGAAAGCTGTGCAAAAAAGAAACTCACATAGCCAAATAGGTGGAACGCCACGTCCAAGACCTCCATTGCAAGGAAGAAAACGTAAATTCTACAGTGTTTGATGTTGTGTTTGATGGGATATGGCCCAAGCCTGGCTTAAACCTACTATTCCTTCTATTTCAGTAGTAACAGACAAAATAAAAGATAACTGTCTAATGGAGAAATTGACGGCTCAGGTGAGGAACTCACAGCATAAGTTTGCGAAGATCTTGGAGCCCTGGAGTGCTAGTGAGTTTGTGGACTAATTGAAGGGGCCTGCCTTTTTAAAGATATTTTGGGCTGGACCGCATGGTCAATAATATGGTCGGGATTGGTGGCACCAACAGCAACCTCCTTTCTTCCCTGTATGCTTTTTCTTACTGTTCCTTTCTGTCACCTCTTACCCTTTGAAGTGATAATAGGACATGACGTTAACGGCTGTGCTGTTCCTGTACCCTTCTTACTTTTAATAATAAGAAAAAATACTTGACGTATAAGGGTGCACTCTAGGGTATATCTCAAAACAATTGCCTTCACATAAAATCACGTATATTCTCATCTATTATGATTACCTCGAAGTACTGGATTTTTGCTAACTGTATTTTTTGTGCTAACAGTCAGTCAAAAATAAAGAATCAAAAAACAAAAATAAAGAATGGATAGTTTCCTCCTGCAGGCTATCCAAGGGAGGGAATGGACTAGTAGTTGCACTGGGTTTGCAACTTGCATCTGTCTTGAGTAAACATAGAGAGACAAGGACATAACTTATGCATGAAGCATAATTTGTTAGGTTTGGTTGTTTAAAGCCTGAGAAATAGTTTTTTTTAGAAATGTAAGAAATCCTCCTGATGCTCTCTTCTGAATAGATCTGCATACATTTCATTTACTAAATAGAGAATCACACGAGTTTCACAGACTGCCTTGCATGCATTCTAATAGCAGTGTTTACAGAATCTGGTATTTAAACTGTGTCCTAAATACATGTCATTAAGCTAAATTTTGACCTTGCTTTAAAAAAGAAAAACTATTATGATTTCAGTGTGAGATGGTCGTCAATACATCATGCACATGTTCACCCTGTTTACAAGTACTGAGAGATAGGTAGATTTAATTCAATGGATTTAATTCAATGGATTAACAAAGAATGAACAGATGTTTTATAGAGAGGAAAAATCATTACGTTAGCACAGCCCTAAAATGGGAAAATTTCAATAAGGTAATGTCATAGTACCTATCCAATCGGCACAGCATTCTGACGTTTTCATCTGCATGGCACGCCCCGATCTGGTAGACAATTACTCTTTGGGCAGCATGGAAGGAGGTGCCTGCTCGCGGCATGTACCTTTATCTAATGAAAGGACGTGATACGGCATATCCGTTCGTAACCATCCACATCATCCCTTGGACCTCGTTCACACATGTTTTGGGATCACGGGGGTGATGTGGACCAATCATTGAGTCCTGAATTATATCAATATTTCCTGGCCCACAGTCAGTGCCCTGTCGTGGTTTCCTCTTGGTACCGAAACAGCGAGTTTTTATTGCATTTTTTACTCTTGATCTTGGTTTGTTTGACCTTATGAATCTGTGGCAGGTTTGTACATTAACATCAGAGGTTTACTGGTTTTATGGGCAAGGCACTTGCTTCATGGGCAAGGCATTTTAATGCTAAAAATGCAGAAGAATCTCCCAAAAAATGTTGCCACAATATTGGATGCCCCAAATCACCTAGAACCATCAATGTCATTGCATGCTGTAATGGTGATGTAATTTCACTGAAACTATGGGGCCTAATCGGTACCATGAAAATATCCCCATACCATTAGGAAAGGAGTAGAAAAGGAAAAAAACAAACAAACAATAATAAATAGAAAAACGTGGGAATTACAGAGAGAAAAAAGTATTGTCATACCCTCTTTTCTCTATTTATTAATGTTTTGTTTTCTCGTATTGTCAACACTTGGGAAGATTAAGGCTCTACTCCACCCAACAGGTTGAGTCAAGTTTCTTTACCGTGTTGACCTGTTGTAGCACATTAGTGGATATATTTGGTACGGTAATCACGATTGGTAACATACTTTATAGCACATTATCACTCCAATTGTTATTATGATATAATATTGCTTGTATTTTTAATGCAAACCTATTTGCTTGACTTGCACAAATTATTTTGTTGGATTATTTTTGATAATAATCATCTTATTGATATGTATCATTGTGCATATGTTCTATTTTATATTACATTTAAAAATTCAATAAGAAATATTTGAAAGAAAAGTATTGTTACAAGTGTCACAGCTGTCAGTACGGCAGCACTGAGCCTCTGACTTCTATCTACGTAGCTATGAGATACTACAGATGAGTCCAAACAGGGTTACAGTAGGGCAAACAACTGATAGAAATTAAAAACATTTTCAGCTTTGTGAGGTGATATCTGCTAACAGCAGAATGCTTTTGGGCATTTTCAAAAAGGGACCAAAGTATGCTAAATTGAATAGTCAAATGGACTGAATGATCATGTTCTGCTGATGCAATATTTGTAGAATTAGCCTTAGAATCAGATTTTTTTAGCACATAGGAGTGCAAAAAGCTACTACTAATTACATTAATTATCACAGCAAAAACAGTTGAATAAGATGCAATTAACACTGAAATCCCTAGAATAAATCATAACATAAAAAGCATTTATATAGTGGTGTATCGTTTAATACTCCATTTATCTGTTTATCTTTTTATGGTATTCTAGGGAAATAGAAAGGAAACTGGATGACATTATAAGGTTATATATCCTGGAATATTCACAGATTTAATCTTATTATTCAAATCATCACGTTTCTAATATCCATAATGAAGAAATATATTCATTAGAAAGATAAAAGCGACATTAATAACCATACCTCGCCTTGGTTTTGATCCTTTGATGGAAGTGAATCCTTCATTACCGTCTGCAATAATTTCAAAGCATAGTAATGTTAATCTGCTATATTTCTATACATATTTAATGTAATTATGCACACACGCACACATATATACATCAACTACATTAATATACTGCAATATGAATATGATATTTTGTATATCATTTTCCTACTACTCAACTGTAGTCACTGGTGTAATAAGAGTGCTATCCCTGGTCACTCAGTGTCTACTGTACAGTGGTCAATGATAATATACAATTAATTAGTGCTATTATAAGTATAAAAGGTTTGGTACAAAATGTGAAGAAAGCTAGGCTTAGATGAGTGTACACACTAAAAGGGACAATTATAATAAGGTACTGGGTCCATAGTAAGGGGAAAATGCAATGTACATCAATATATTGCGCTATTGAGCAATATATGCTACTCTACATCATGGAAAGGAGGGGACACACACAATGCTTATTAGAAGCCTATATTACTGGGAATTACCGTACTACTGGATTGAGCTAGTATTTGTTTTTCTGCAGGTTCTGCAAGACTGGTACTGGAATAGGGTGAATGGTAAATGGGTTCCAGTTCTGGACTAACGGGAGACAGGGTGGAAGAGGTCCATTCAAGGTGACAGCTTGGAGAAGGTTGGACATAGTACACAGCAGGACGGCCAAGCTGGATCACATTATAGGATCTGCATGTTCCTCTGCCTGGTTTTTCACTGAAACTCAGAGTGGTGTGCAATGTGAGTAAAGGGAAATAGAGATATAAGTGAACATTATATCCTGGGTTTTTCCCCTTACTCAATGAAGCAGAGAAACCTGCAGATTCTATGCCACCTGTCTGCACTTCAATATTAGCACGTGCGGTATGGAATCGAACCGAGGGGGTTGGGTGGAAGATGTGGAGACACACAGTGGGTAAGGAGATGGTCCGAAGAGACACAAAATGAGTAGGGCTGGGGTAGGCAACCTATGGCACTACAGATGTTGTGGACTACATCTCCCATAATGCTTTTACACCCATAATGCTAGCAAGGCATCAGAGGAGCCTACACTGCAACAACATCTGGAGTGCCAAAGGTTGCCAACAACTGGAACAGGAAGTGCTTTTGGAGAGATACACAAGGGATAGGTAGGTGGAGCTAGGGAGAGACAGACATTTTTGGGAGGCAGACTGAAGAGGCACACAAGGTGTAGGAGGTGGTTTTAGAGAGACATACAAGGGTTGGGGGCTAGAGGGGCTGGTGAGAAACACAGGGGGTTGGAGTGAGTTCGAGAAATGTACAAGGTAGTGCCCTAGAAACACATTTATTCTGATTGTATTCACCAAAATCCATTTCATTACTTTGCCATGCAATGGCAAAATATGTTGAGGTAGTAAAAGTTAAAAGATATCTCACTGAAGACATTTGCTTGAGCAGAAAAAGAAATATTGTTCTTCATATATACATATACACACATATATTCATATATATCACAGATCTGCACATTACTCAGCTATAGAACAAATTATCTGTCCTACTTAGAACACATTGGAAATCTCTGTGTTCACACAAAATAATAATTTTTTGCTTGGAAAAGAAAAAAAGATTTGTTTTGCAAATGATTCTGGTCAAGATGAAAGCTAATCAAATACACCTAGAGATCGTTAGTGATGAGTAGGCAATTCACCGGATGAACATAGGCTAAAATTAGCCTAATCTGAGATGCTGATGGCTTTTCTGATCTTCTACAACACAATACATTTTTTTCCCAAAGTTTTATTTTATTCAATATTATACAGTGTTTCTTTTAAATAAATTAATTCTTAAAAAATTTATTATGCTATAGTGGAATTTACTTTGATCTGATGCTCAATTGAAAACAGCATTTGCAGATTACATTGCTATGTTATATGTTATTGATTGGAAAATAAATATATTGTAAATAGTCTCTCTTTATACATAAAACTGAATTACAAAAACATTTTTCCTTTGGGAGATAAAGGAATAGGTGATGTTACCTAATGCTGGTTTAAATTTTTCTCTGAATTTAATGTATTACTTTCCCATATGAAAAGCAATTTTGAAAATATGTCATTGATTGAACAGTAAGTTAGCTTACTAAGCTTGATCGGCTGCCATACATGATATTATAGTAGTTTGTCGCCCATAAAATAACTGTTTAATCTATTTAAAATACATACTTAACAGCCCTCATGTTGTTGTGACATTTGCCTGTCGCTGCTCATCAAAGGAAGATTTGGGGGATGTAAGTTTTGCCCATTCTCTATTTTTTAAATTAGGTTTTTGTTTTGTTTTTTACCATAATTTTTCATTGTAACAACAATTTATCAAATCCACTTTAACAACAAATCCTATTCCTTATGAACAAGACCTTCAGTATAAATGGCTATAGATATACTATAAATATATTTGATCAATTTATTCCATTTATTTCATGTTATTTGTGTTTTGATAGTGAAGATGAGCAGTATAATGCTTATCCTCAAGATATTAAAACATTTTAGCAGAATTTTAATTTAAACTATGTCTGATGTAAAAGTGTATCACGTATAAGATAAGAACCTTGTGTGCATCCACAACATTGTGCAAATATAATTACTGCTACAGCATTATAACACACAGAATCTCTGATAACACATTCACTCTTAAAGAACCGGTTTTACTTGTTATACCAATGCAAAACATGCTTAAATAAATGCTCCCTCTGTATTAAAGATAATTATTTGTGAAAAACTTCTATTTTGTGTGAATGTGTGTGTGTATACAAAGAATAAAAAATGGCCACACGCAGGTTTGCATGTTTACCTTACTTTTACCAATGAAGCATCACTGAGCTAAACATGTTTAGATTTTAAATTGCATTGAAAAATCCATTGTTTACGCTAATCGAGAACCTAAACTGTTGCAATTTTGTTATCTTTAACTAAAAAATGTGCCTGATAATCGATTACCACAACCTGTAATGCAAATGTTTATTAACGTACCCTGATGTCGCTGTTGTGGCACACCAAGGCTTAATGTTACTTTTGTGCACACCAAAAATAAAGAATTAAAAATTTTTTTAAAAATGGCAAAGCGTGTAATAATACCACTAAATGTCTGGAATTGTCAAGTCTTAGTCATCAACAAATGAATCTTAAATTTTTTTATATTAACATGAATTTCCGTCTTTCAAGGCATGTTTTGCCAACTGATGGTTATGCTATGCTTGTATGGAAGTGTGATTGCTCTTCATGATCGTACTATCTGTAGTGTAATTGTGTTCAAAGCAGAGAGATATATTAAAGCCTGATAAGATAACGCTTTCTTTGCAGTTAATCTAATATCTCCAGTGCCTCCTTTCTTCACACTGTGTGAAAACAAAATTGCTTCCCTATAGATTGGATGCTGAAAAAGACAGACATTGCGAAGATTTCTATTTTATTAAACTAAAAACTCTTCTGCAGATCAATAAACCTGTTTAACTGATAAAGTTTTCAAACATTAAATTCACGAGGCATTACAAAAATGTGATCTCTGATATCAGTTCTACATATATACTTTTGTGCATGAGTGTGTATATGTACGGTATATATTATATATTCACAATAACTTGGCACTCTTCTGAAAGTAGATCTAAAAAAAACTTGCCTGGGTGCAAACCACGGTAAACATAAATTATAAAAAGTAGGGTGCACTCACAGGTCTTAAAATACGTGGTTTTAATGGTAATAATTATTGCAAAAACATCTTGATCGGGGTTTCAAGTTGTTCAGGTAGAAGTGTATAAGTATATATTAGCCTGGCACACTTCCTTACACTTGTTAAATCAAAAAAATGCCTGGTTACAAAGAAAGGGGTGCACTCACAAGTTTTGCGAATTTGTTATTTATTTATTTATATCATGTTACCTTCCAACAATTAACGTTTCAACCGCCAGGGTCTTTTTCAAGATCCTGAGACTGATGGAAGATAACTATAGGGCTGCAGATGTGATTTCTACCTGTCACAATTAATTATGTTCCGCTCCCAAAATTGAGACAGTGCATATCAGTTAAAATGCAGGAGCAAAGTTTAAATGCAAGAGCAAAAATTAATTCCCTTAAATGTCAGGCAGCCAAAGATATTTATGTCACAGTGCGGCACTGATTTAAGTACACTGCAATTCAGAGTGTCACAGCACAATAGACTGCCACTGGAAAATGATCATTCACAGGAGGAACAGGTACTGCCGGACCAAGAGATAGAGTGTGTCTTTTAGAACATTAAAGTCAGACATATAAAGTGAAATATTTACCCATTTTCAAAAATGTTGTCTATTCCAAATAAATAAAAAGAACCATTGCCGATAGCATATAGTAACAGAATAAAAACCAATATGTCTATTTAAAACAATTGCAAAGAAAGGTAGCTAATTACATTTCAAAGTTACCACTAGCACATTTTAATAATTTGCTATGTATTCTTGGATATTCACAGACATATAATAAATTACATTTATAATTACCTGTAATCCAGGAAAGAGACATGAGAACCGCTGTGATTATTATTAAAGTTTTCATTCTATTATGAATTTCTGTCCTCGTTCACTGTATTTTGTCTGTCTGTTTCTCTATGGTGCTCCATTAGCTTTTTAAGGACTAAAAGTGCTATTTATAAGAAGAGTGCTACCTACATCACTCTAGATGGTTTTAATGGAACATCACCATTGGTGCTCAAAAAGGATATATATGGATCCATAAGGGGATTGGCATAATCGTTAAAGAATGTGTGCTTAATAGATAAAAGTAGGAGCTCACGGTGTTGTTTCTTCTCAGAAGAGAAGAGGGTGCATTAAAAGAACAAAGTGTCCTGAGCATCTCTTATAAGAAGTATATTAAGATATAGAAAGAGAAATAGGGGATAGATAAATAGACAGACAGACATCCTCCTAACCAGCTATTTTTTACTGAAAGGAACACCCCAAGCACTGTAACCCCCCCAATCTAAGTACTGCAACCATTTTAGAAAGCTTTCTGCTGGGTGCTGCTCCCCACTTCTCTGTAGCCTCCAGGAGACAGCTGTTACATCAAAAGGGAGTGGGATCCCTCCAATGAGTGAAGCCCTGCACTGCCAGGCTTAGAAGCTACAACAGACAACTTCTGGCTCATATACAAGCTATAAAAACCCCAGCTAAAAAAAGTCAAACGGTTTTAAAACGGTTTGACTAATTACACAGCGGTAGGCTACCAGGGTGCTGTTGTGTTTCTTTAAAAAATTGCAAACATAAAAACCAAGACACAAAATAGCAAATAAATATACTAATGTTAATGTTGTTTACATGTGGCGAGCAAACAAAATGTATTCAACAATGTAGATGGGGATTTAAATGCCAGGACAAATGTGTCCCCTATTAGGGTCTGACTGCGCACACCCTGCACTCGCCTTACACATGTGTACATATGTTAACACATGCAATGGAAATGTCATCATGAATATATATGATATCATAAAGTGAGTGCTACTGAATTAATAGAAATCTTATCAAAGCATTAAATCAGAAAGGACATGTTTAGCTTATTTATGTAATTTCCTCCTCTCCAGTCTTTATTGACCAGTTTTATTGCACAGAAGAACAGACCTTTAGGGTCTTGGTTATGAATCGTTTTAAAATGTTTGGAGACAGACTGTGTTTCTAGGCCTTTTTTAATATTGCGGACGTGTTCTGCAATTCTTACGTGAAGGGGCCGTATTGTTCTCCCTATATAGAGGAATTTGCAAGGGCATTTTAAGGCGTAAATGACTCCTTTAGAGTGACACGTGAGATGCTCTCTTATTTTGTATGGTTGTCCTATCAATTCACTTATATCTGAAAGATGTCTTTTTTTGCTTTTAGTTTTTCTACACAGTAAACAGTCTCCACAGCTGTAAAAACCTATAAGGTTATTGATAAAATGATCTGGTTTGGCAATTTCTAAGTTACTTTTAACTAAAATATTCTCTATATATGATTTTCGGTTTTAAGGGTAAGATATCTTTTAAAATGGGGTCATCTCTTAGGATGTTCCAGTGTTTTTGTATGGCCTGTTGAATTTTTTTAGTACTTCCATTATATTTACATATCAAAGGAATTTCATTGTATTTTTGGGAGGTTTTTGCAATTTCTTCTGTACACCCTTCGATATACAAATGAGGACTGACATACAATAGATGCACACTATATGGACAATTAAGCAGATATGAATAATAAAGTTTTTTTATCAAGTGGAACGCATATGCGTTCCAACAACGAGTGAACAGAAGAACCGGAAGCATGTCATCAGTATGAAGCCGCAAATGAGGGCGGTACACGAAAGACAGGAAGTGGACATGAACTACTGAGTCTTTGTCACAAATGGAACGCATATGCGTTCCAACAACGAGGGAATCTGCAAACCGGAAGTACTTCATCAATAGGAAGCCGCGAATGAAGCCGTCATACATCGAACAGGTGAATGAAATTAAACAACTATAGGGGGATATAAATGATTACTAATGGACAGATAACAACAACAGTAACTGAGGAAGCTCTACAATATAGGCGTACGCCCAGGGCCGTGCAAGGGATTTTTTGCCAGCTTCTAGGCAAAAAGAAGGATTTGCCGCCACCCTCACCCCCGAACACGCAGTAATGCCCCCACCTATATGAACTACTGCTGCTCTGCACACAGTGTGTGTTTACATTTAAAAGCCTGCAGGGACCAGCTATAGACACCAGAACCACTTCATTAAGCTATAGTGTCCCTTTAATGTGAGGTAAATTATAGATTAGTGTCACTAATAATATACTATATTGCCTACTTACAAGCAGATGAGGATGATGATGGGCTGCAGTTTGGCTCCACTGGTCTGGTGTAGAACAGGATTTCTGGAGGCTGTTTGCAACTGTGGTCACAAAATTCAATGTTCTGGGAGAATTGGAAGCAGCTCAATTTTGGGGCTCTCTACATAGCTTCGCTGTCTGGGCCTCTAGGGACCTGATTGTAGTAGTGCCTATAAAGCTTCACTCTTATAAGTCTACTCTACATGTTTCCACCTAAGGAACTCGCTACAGGGAGTAGAGTGTGTAGGGGATGTTAGTGTGTTACTGTAGAGGATCTAATGTGTGTGCTACGAATGTAGTGTATAGGGATACCAGTTTGTAGGTGATGCAGTGTAAGCTTGTGTAGTGGAAGCAGTGTGTGTGTGTGTATAAGGGATGTATTGTGTGTTTTGGTTGTGTGTGTGTGTGGGTGATGGTTGTGTGTGAATACCTGTGTTTGTATGCATAAGGGATGCAGTGTTTTGTATGGGTGGATGGTGTGTGTGTCTGTAAGGGGTGCGTTGAGTGTGTGTAAGAGATGTATTGTGTTTCTGTGTGTGTGTAAGAGAAGCAGTGTGTGTTTGCATGTGTGTGTAAGGGATGCATTGTGTGTTTCTGTGTATATGTGCAAAGGATGCATTGTCTTTATGTGTAAGGGTTGCATTGTGTGTTTCTCTGTGTGCAAGGGAAGCATGTTGTGTGTGTGTGTGTGTGTGTATGCGCGTGGTGTGAAAGAGCTCCCTGTCCCCCTGTCCTATAGAGCTCTCCCTTCCATTCCTTAGAGATCTCCCCTGCCCTTAGTGGTCTCTCCTCTCCCCCCCCACCTCCCTTAGTGGTCTCCTTTTCTCCCCGACTTTCCATTAGTGGTCTCTCCTCTCCCCCCACCCTCCCCTAGTGGTCTATCCTCCACCCTCCTCCCTTAGCGGTCTCTCCTCACCCCCCTCCCCTAGTGGTCTCTCCACCACCCTCTCCCTCCTTTAGTGGTCTCTCCCTCCCTACGTTTCATCTTCCCACTGTGTTCTCTTCTTCTTTTCCCTGTTTTTCCTTCTTATTCTCCCTGTGTTTCTCTCTCTTTTCTCACTTCTGTAATCTTTCTCCTCCTGTAATTTTCCCTTCCTCCTTTGTAATCGCTTTTTCTCCTGTATCTTTTCTCTACCCACCATCTTCCCTTCTCCTATCATCATTCCCTCCTCCTATCAATCTTTTCCCTCTATCATCTCCCCACCTCCTCCTATCACCTTTCCCCTATCATTCCCCACCTCCTCCTATCAATCTTTCCCCCTTTCCTCTACCTTTCTCCCTCTCCTATCATTCCCCTCTCTCTCTCCTATCATCTTCCTCCTCCTATCAAATGATCTTCCCCTCCTCCTATCATTCCCTGCATCAAATGATTTCTCTATCCTATCAAATGATTCTCTCTCCTGCAATCAAATGATCTCCCCCCAGCATCTCCTCACCTCACCTCCCTTGCCCTGTAGCGTGGCCGAGCTCCTTTCCAGTCCCGCGACCCGGCGGGACTGACAGGAAGTGCACACTGAGTGTGCACTTCCTGTCAGTCCGGCCGCGTCGCGGACCGGAAAGGAGCTCGGCCACGCTACAGGGCAGGGGAGGTGAGGCACTGTGGCAGCCGCCTGAGCGCTCTCTATAGAGCGCTCAGGCGGCTGCAGAATTTAAAGGGCCGGCGATGGGTGCGTAGGGCGCCCCCTCCTATATGGCGCCCTATGCGGCTGCCTGGTTCGCCTTATAGGAAGTGCCGGCCCTGAACACGTCTTGCTATCCAGAAAGGAGACTTTTTATTTTACCACCCGGAGTGATTTTACACAAGAAATAATTTGCTTTTTATTTTAAAGTTTTATCTGTATTTTATATTCTTTTTATTAAAGGAAGTTTTTGTCTTCCATACATTTTGGTGTGGACACTCTTCCTTTTTGAGACCACTAAAGAACACAGATACAGCTGTTACATCAAAAGGGAGTGGGATCCCTCCAAACTATCCCACAGGCGTCCAGACTGAGCCATTATTCTCTGGCTCCCCACTTGTGAGTACTAAATCACACAACTTACATTGAGCTACCTATGTAGCTTATGATATTGCACTAGGTGCTTGTCAATATTTTTGTCTTTTCAGCTATCCCATTGTATTATTGCCATTATCCCAGATCTTGTACCCAGGAACCAAGGTTTTCAAACACAGCCTGTGTTATTGATTTTTATATAACTGAATGGTACTTTTTGTATGACCTTTTATTAAGGCTGAGCTGACACTGCCTGAAAACTAAATGGAAGTTTGAGAGATGCTGCAGTTGGAGCGTCTATCACTAATCACTATTTATCTTGATGAGCAAATGTTACACTCGGTCATTGAATCAGCACTCATTCACTGTTTAACAGGTTTTAATGTCTGACTGTTTAACAGGTTTTAATGTCTGAGCAAAACTCCTATTTACAATAAAAGATATGATTTCAGTGGGCTGCACCCATCTCCAAGTCCACTTTAGTTATAGCGAAGGATTTGATAAATGTATTTGAGAATAATTATGTCTTTTTGTGTATCTATAGCACCCATGAAGATATTAACAGGGTTATTCAGTAAAGTGAGAATTCAAACTGAATTTCGAATTTAAAGATAAACGTTAGGGTCAGGAACACAAACATGTAGTCCTGACCCCATAGTGTTAAAACCACCAGTTAGGTGGCTTAACCCCACCCTTAGCCCTCGTAGAAAAGGTTCAAACATACCTTATTTCCAGCATGAAAATGCCTGAAAGGAATGATTATTCTCACCAGAACAACTACA